AAAAGATAGTAACATTGTCACTAGCCATCTTGTAAAGCCTATGCCTTCTGTCCTATTCTCTGAATTGTGAAAATAATATTTAAATGGTCACTAGACCGTCACAAGTTACACAAATCCCCCACTTTATAAATAACTTAATAACCATCTTTTCACGGCACAATTGCATCGCTAGAGGTCGTAGGGGATCGGTTTTCAGGTCAAAAGACGCAACGCGGCACATTCTATAATAACTCAGTGATTAATCGTGCCGATTGCGGTTAATGCGACACCACTGTGTTAAAGTTGTAACTATATGGCAATGCTGATATTTAAATGAAACACTTTTAACGGTTTTAAGCGCGAAACAACTAACGTACTACTCGCGTAATCTACGGACAATGCTCGTTACTGTTACAAGCAAGCTGTATCCAAGATTTACTTTTTTCTAATTAAATACCTAGTTGTTCTCAGTAAATTACTAGAGGAGAAATTTTACGATTTTCCTTAATGCGTAGTACGTAGATCGAAAGAAATAAGTGAGCGTAATTTAAATAGAGGTGTACAGTACGCTAATACGTAAGTTTTAATGAATATTAACTTTATTATCTACCTTGCAAGGAAAATAAAGTACACGTCTAAAAAATGTTCCGCTGCGTTGTTCTGGCGTCCCCCCAAGTCCCTTGTCGGGGCATGGGGCAAACATTTCTGTATCGCACTTGTCGATTTTACGTCAGTTACGGGCAATCTTAGTTGCGCTGTGTCCGACTGAAAGAATTCGTTTTTTCTCTGTATACAGGGCTCACTTCTTTACGCAAAGCTAGGCTATAACCACTGAGCTAAGACGGATCTTATATAATTGCAATAATAGATTATAGCATGTATATAACTCGTTATAAGTCGTAATTACGCCGGAGGAAATATTTCGAGGCCCAAGCCTAATAAACAATAAGTACGCTGTACTACCGTCTACCGGTCGACATATTGTAACCGGACACTCGCTCGTACCCTATTGTTGAGGTTAGAGTACTCAATCGTCTGACGGGAGAAAGCTTTGTACTCGCGACTACCTGTGTTAAATGGACGCGAGAAGCGAACCTTACTAACTATTAAGGTACTGACCAGAAACTCGCGATTAACGTAGTCAACAAATCATTTAGTCAGTACCTACCTTTACGCGAAAAGCAGACACTAATCGTGATATTAAGATTTGAAACGAATGGCTATCATAAAACCAAGCAGTAACTTATGTTATTAAGTAAATTAACCAAAAGTTAAAAGAAAATATTTACTCGGTAGCTCAATTAGTTTAGACAGCACGGAACGCTGACGATACCGGTTCAAGTCCTGCCCGAGTTAAAAAATTTTTTTTCGATTTTTAAATTATATACTTAGTGCCATGTGTGAAAAATATTAAAGTTTTGAAGTATTTCTTTTTTTCAAAACAAGAGGATAGTTAAAAATACATGAAGTATGAGAATAGACAAAAATAATAAGAAATTCTCTTGTATGGATAAATATTTAAAGTTGTCATACTCATATATAACTTTGCAAAAGGAAGAATTGTGTCTTAGTGAATGTGTAATTAGATATATACGCAAATACACATGTATGTGAATACAATATTATGTCACTTACATATCTATATTTGTTGTTTTTTTTGCATATAACCTATTTGCTAATCTACCAAACTAATTTAGAATGATATGACAAATTAAATTGTTTAGCGAAGTAAAGCTTCAGTCAAAATAAAAGTGATGTTTTAAAAGTTAGATCAAAGAAGAACAACATCTAGTTTTATAGAATTTTCTTTTAAAATCTTTTAAATGCAATTCAAACTACACAAGTAAAAACCTAATACAAACATATAAACCAAACAATATTTACTACAGTAGTTATGTAAGCTCCGCTAGTCAATAAGCTGTAACTCATAAATTTTAATGTAAACTACATAATAATAATTGTTTATTACAGTATGACCCACATAAAATGACATGTTTTATTGTACTGTGTATTGTAACGCGGAGATGAGCTACACATTGTTGAACATTTATCTTATTTGCAGTAAGGTAAATTGCCGTGGCATTTCTCATATTTGTTAAATATGTTTGTATATTTTAAGCTATCCTAGAAGCTTTTATATTGTTTTTCTCACAGTTTGACAAGCAAGTTTGGTGTTTAATAATAAAAGAATAAAATATACACTTACTACTATTACTACTTAATACTCAGTGTTTTAACATTAAAGAATTAAAGATGGAACAAGTCTTAAGATTCTACAAAGAGACCGAAAGGTTTGAAGGGACATGGTGAGGGGAAGATGACCTCTGCAATTGGGGAATGGGTGACGTGGTTAGAAAATGGTGCTCACCAATCATCCTTTATCTATGTTCCCAATGGAAAATAATAATAATATTCAGTGAAGAAATTCTGTCTATAGAAATTAGTGTGTATGGTATATTAGCAGCTAACCCTGAGTTACTAGATTGCTTCTAAAGAAATAAGACCTAATACATAGGAAATAACTTGATAGGTAAATATTTTTTTTTGTATTTTTTAATCACAGTTGCGTATATATATTTATAATGTGTGTATTTGTCCATAAAATACAGACTTTTGATACATAAATATTAAGAATTAAGTGAAATTCCATTTTCTCTATATGGGAGCATGTTTTGTTTAGGTAATCTATTTACAAGAAAGTAGTATAATAAGTCTTATGTGCCCTAATCAAATAATTACTCTTTGCGGCTAACCTTACATCATGTTAGATAGACAATACTAAATTTATGGGAATGTTAGATCAGTAGTACAGTGTAAAAGTCAAATATAGATAACATTTTTATATTTTCAGACTTATTTTATTATTTAGTTCCTTAATGTGTTAATAAAAATATAACTTTTAACCAAAACAAATGAATGAAATAACTAATATGTTCAGTAATGTTAATACAATATGTTAAAACAAAGTACTACGCCAATCTAATCTCACACAAAATGTTGTCGGAACAAATGCAAGGCGACAAACCTACGCGATTGTACTCTACTGTGGTAACTCATGCACAACTCTAGCTAGTAATTAAATTGACCCCTGACCTCTTTCAACGAGAATCTAAGACATTCCATAATATCTTGAACTACACTTAAAGAATAATAAACCACTTTCCATTAAACTTAGTCGCTCTCACTCACACCAACAAAACACGAATCAAACAACTGTCAAAACTTTTGGTAAATACATAATCATTTCTACTTAAGGTACACCTCAATCAGGATTACCTTAGTTAGGCTTAAATTATACCATGCAGTATTATTTTATTACTATACACTCACCGTATCCAAGTACGCATAAATCCAAAAAACAAAAAGTTATGATGTTCTCGATGAAAACAAGGCACAACACAGAAAACTTCTTTAAAATCCGAACCACACAATGTTAGCACCCAAATTCACAAAACAGACACTAACACGTCGATAAAACAAATGCGGCACTTTAAATTCATACCAATTAAGATTGTAAACGTTTACGAAAATACATATTTACGGGACGTCTAACGCACTCCAACGAGTTTCTGCCATTTTGGAATGAGTTTTTTTTTATTGTCAATGTCGAATACTTTATAGTGATGTAACAGAATCGGAATCTATACATCGAGGTAGTTGGAACAAAGCAATTTATTTTGCCAATGTTATATAAATTGTTTAATTCAATATATGATACAAAAATTTTATTTTTTTTATTTAAAATCAAGAGTAAATCAGTATTAACTGCTTAAATACTAGTTATGATTTAGTGTGACACTAATATTGGAACTACTTGTAGCCAATATTTGTTTTTCCACGACTTAAACACTGACTGACATAATGTCTACTACTGACTACTAACAATGGCGTATTCAATGTAATTATGAAACAAATTAACAATGTCGTATAACCAATTTCATATTTTTAGTATCTTACTTTGTACATTTATGGTGAGTTGCATTGCTTAACCTACCTTACCATACCTTAAAATATTCTGATAATTAATATCAGAATATTTTATTTATTTATTAAAAACAAATAAAAAATATTGCCAACAGCGGTTATTTAATATTATATTTTCTTCTTCTACCTATTAATATTTCATTATCTGTTTCAGATACACAATCAAAAATGTTGTAAATGCAATTTCTTACCCGAAAACTTAAAAATTGAGAATATAACGCAAGGTTACTAAGTCGATATTTTTAGAATTATGTATATGTTTAACGTAATTACGGTACTAATTGTTTTTAACTTTATAAAATTTCAGAATATCCCATGAACATGTTTCAAGCTTTTAATGACGCTAGTCACGTATTTAGTAATGTTGTCAGTAAAATTATGGCAAATAAGCGCTTAGTTGGACTGAATTCGAATGGGTATTGGTGACTGAATATATTATACATAGTTTTATGCAATTAATTACAAGTGGTTATTACATTTATTTTATTATTAACATTCCTACACATGTTACAATAAAATCTATCTTCGCTTCATAAATAAATAAAAATCGTTCATATGCGTCATATAAAAATAAATCTCATTTTTATAGATTTAATTTAAACTTCGGACATTTATTTTGACTCAATTTTACAATTTTATTGAAGACCTACTTCATATATCTTATAATGTCATATTATTTTTAAAGTAATCGATTTGGTTGTGTTCGATCGTGTTTACAAACTTCGATTTCTATATTCGATAATATCGTAACTTTTCCTTCCTTCGAGCAACAATTGGTACTTCACTAACTATGATTGTGAATTTGTCTATTTTAGTTTTCGAGTCATAATAATTTTCATTCTTAATAATTTGTAAGTTCAAATGAAGTCTCACTCATTTGTTAGTCCTATACTAATAATAATAAAAGTTTAATTCGCATATTTCTCATAGTACAGTATCTGGGATAAAAAAATATACTTGTTATATTTTGTTAAATTATGAACCAAATTGTTGAACGAAACCTGTGAGCCCGCGTAATTTACAATCAAATTTGAAAGATGCAGCCTTCTAATGATGCTAATATCAATATTATTATTTCCAATATACTAAGCCAGAAACGATACAGTCACTGTAGATTATGTTTATGTAATATTGAGGAAGTCTACGTTTGTACAAGTGACGCCGTCACACTAAATCCTAGCGGGGGTGTTTTTCAGTCATTGAAAAGCATTCTTGTTCGGCTTCTGGGTGAAGAGGTTGGTATTTGGAAGTTATGTGAAGTTAAATGGTTGTTCTTTTTTGTAATGATTTATTAATATTTGCAGCTCAATGATGATATTCCTGGAGTAGATGCAGTTTGTGTGCAGTGTGTTGAGAATACTTTAGCAGCTATGCGATTCCTAGACCGATGCAGGACTTCAATGGATACTTTAAGTAAAGCTTTTGAGAGTATAAGTAATGCTTTTGAAAACAATTTTAGTATAGAGAGCAGTGATAAAGTAATTATAAATATAACAGAATCAAAAACTGACCTGCTTGCTATGAAGAAGCCAAGGTATAACAGAAAACAGAAATGTAAGCAACCATTTGAGTGCACAGATTGTCTTCTGTATTTTAATGGGTTTGATGATTTAAAGGTTCATAATCTCGCTCACCATGGCTATGTAACTTCATCAATTATAAAACATAGAAAGCCAAATAACCCTGATAATCAAAAACACCAATTAACTAAGTGCCCCGAATGTCCACTATTTTGTGATTACGAAGAAAGCCTTAAAGTACATTATGACCGGCAACATGCAACTCATATATGTCAAGAATGCGGGAAATATTGTATAGGCCTAGATAAATTGATAATACATGAAGAGAAACATAAAACTAAGAAATCGTGTCCCAAATGTAGTAAAACCTATTCAACAAAAGATTTCTATGACCGCCACGTTAAACTGTGTCTTAATAACCTCATAGATCCGCATCCTATACGAAATAGCATGGTAAAATCATACAGATGTGAAAAATGTGATAAAGCATATGGCACAAGAGGAGGTTTGCGTGTGCACAACCGATTTGCACATGGCAATGCGAAACCCCATGTTTGTCCAGAATGTGGGAAAAAGTTTCCTGCTCCAAGTTGCCTTCGAACTCACATGATAAAGCACACAGGAGAAAAGAACTTTAAATGTGATATATGTGGAAGCAGATTTGTATCTAAAGAAGCATTACTATATCATACGAGGCGGCATACTGGTGAAAAACCATATAATTGTACAATTTGTGAAGAGAGATTTGTTAATGCTTCTGCACGAGCTGAACATATAAAGTTCAAACATGTTGGTCCCACACTAATATGTGAAATGTGTTCAAAGAAATTTGTAACATCCTATTTTCTCAAGAGGCATATAAGTAGACATCACAACCCAACAAGCATGCTTTACTATGGCAACACAGTGCCGCCCAGCAGGCCGATTTTGTAACTTTTGACAACAGTTTCACTAGCCTTCAGTTGTCAGTTTCGATGATAACTAAATGATGGTACTATTGGATTTTGTAACTTGGGGTACGGTGACACATGCGCAGCCACTTAACGTAAACACAGAACAACTTTTTTATCGATCGACAATGTGAGCGTGCAGGATACACGACTTTAAGAACATTTTAGACTATTATCTTGAAAATTACGGCTTGGCGGCATTCGAATACTTTAAAGTTTTATTCATTTTTGTTTATGTTGTTATTGAAACGTTGTGAAGAGGTAAGTAATCATTTATATTGTTAACTATAAGGGGAAGTGTAATGTTAGTTAAATTAATAACATCGTGTGTTTGTTTTAACCGAGAAAAGTGTGGAAGGCAAATGGAATTGCTGGTGGATTTGCGGAAAGGAACCCCAAAGCTTGGGACGTTTTCCGGGAGATTTGTGTAAGACATTTTAAAGTCTGTTATACCTATAAATAATATTTTTAGATAATAATTCTGCTGTACATAGTGTGTGTTTATTGACTACACTGTGAAACCTGTAAATATGTTTTAACTAGTCACAGAATTTGTACTTCACCAACTCACCACCAATGTTGTACCAACCAGCGAACCACCACCACAAACGACCACATACAACAACTCTACCACAACGACGAAGTATCAAATTTTCTACTTCATTTATTAATGAATAATTTCTTTGGCTAATAATGTTTTTTATTATGCCAATCGTAAGACGCATCTCCCTTATTTTTTTGTAATTACTCATCTTATAATATGATTTAATGTGACATATATGTACATGATATTAAAAGTTACACAACTAAAATTAATACATACATAATAAATTAGTTCCTTTTGCAAAGATTGCAAACCGACTGGTGAAATCTGTCAATCGAAATAAATATTTTTTACTCTTAACACCGGCTTGCTAAATTTAGGATAACATAATAATTTTTCTTCATTATTACAGTTCGTCAGACGTGTTGCAGGGAAGAGAGAATGGCAAATGCTGTGCAATCACTAGCTGAATTAATTAGGGAAATTAGAGATGACATAAGACATTTTGTTAATAAATAGAAGAGATATAAATGGTAAATTTTTAATCTGAAAGTTATAAGTTCCTCTAAATTAATACAATTATTGATTTTAATGTTAAAGCGTATTAAAAAAATTATTTACAACATCTAACATTATGGTACACTTACAAACCTTAAAATATATGCTATTTATATCATAACTGGGACTTTAACTTAAATTAACTAAATAAAGTTAGATTTTAAATAAAATCATATATCTAATAATATACAAAAAATTATAGTATTACACATTATAAAAAGAAACTTATTAACTATTTCTATTAAAAAACTAAAGTACTTGTCTTATTATAAAAAAAAATATTCCGAATCCCACATTCTCTGTACAAGAGTTTTTTATTTTGTTCTTCCGCTAAACTCAACATAATTAGACGTGCCATAATTCTGCAATATTATGAAACACAATTAAAAATCACTAAACGACAAGAAAAATAATAATCACATTGTTAATCACCAAAATATAAGAATAAAACACTACCTTTGAGTAGTGTCTTTCAACGATCAAAGTGAATAACAGTTTGATGATAACTAAGCGTACAAAATCGCAAGTTTTCAAATATCGATACAAAAACTCATTTACGGTGACGATCAACAATCTCGGTTCTTTTGACGTCATAATCGTTAGCAATCGAAAATAGCAAATACCAATGGCTCTTTGACAGATAGTTGTTGTCAACTAATGTTAGTGATTAACACTATTGAGTTACAAAATCGCTGAGACCACTTGAAGACAAAGTGAAAACTTAGTGAACAATATAATCAGTGAAGTAATTTATTACTTTTATTATTAATTTATATTATATGAAGATACATATTTTTTACTGTCTGAGTTTAATTTGTTGATTGTGTTCCTAATATAATGAAGTTTCCAATCATTTAGGGAAGTAATCAATGCAATCTTTTATAACAAATCAGTATTTTTTTTATATATTGACAATCGTTCGGTCAATTAACTAGGGTCTAGTCACGTGAGTAGATAAGGTCATTTGTCAACGATTAATTCTAAAATTGACAGCTGACCTCATCCAAAGCCGAATTCCAAAAGTGTCACATAAATAAACCACTTTGCAGGCGAAAATTTAATGAAATTCAAATTAATACAGTAAGTAAATAACTCATAATATCATAGTAATAGTATATAGCTATTAGACAGTGTTCTTTTTTATAGCCTCTAAATAGAATAGAATCTCTATAAGAATCTAAAGCACTTGAAATGTTATCCTATTTATATATATTTTAATCATGACTCAATGTAATAATTGTAACATGCATATAGACATATAAGGCCCTGTTTATAACGCTTATTGTCACTTACTTTTTCAGATGGATCATGTTCAGAACATTATTTTAAAGGGCGAAAATGTAGGTGAAAGACATTGTTACTTAAATAGCCTTGTTAATAGAGCCTGCAAAGAAGAAATTGATTTTCAGAAACTTTCAGAGGGTACCCCAATTGACAAAATATACAAAATTGATGTAGCCAATCGTTTTAAAAATGTTGAGTATATTCTTTATACACTGAAAGATGATGATATGCTCTATGTAAGTAGGGCTTTAAAAAGTCTTTGGCTACTGGATTCAAGTTATAGGCATATTGTCAACCCAATTTATTTAGAAAATAAAGTATTTCCAGAAATGACAAGGCCTGCGGTTAATAAAATGAAACATTGGATTGAATTGAACCTTAAAGATCAGGAACGCTGTGAAGAATTTTATTTGTACAACAAAACAAATTTTAAGGATTCTATAAAATATTTGAGACATTGTTCTCCAGCATTCATTGTTAAAGAAATTGTACATGTTTTTCATAAACTAACTCCACATCACTTAAAAATACTTTGCGAAGCCTGTCCAGGAGTCGTACAAGTCTACTTTGAATGTATTAAAACAAATCATGAGGCACTGTGTAAATACTTTGATGAAGAATATAAATTTTTTGACAGCTTCAAGTGTTTATTAAAATTAGATGGGGAGTTATATTTAGACTTACTTGAGAGCTGCCTTAGTCCAAGAACCCTTAGCCCTGCAGCTACTATCTACATAATGAAAAAGTATAAAGGTAGATTTCAAGCCAAGCGTGAGCTGTACACATCACAAATCTTAAATATAAAAACTTTGGCATCATGCCTATCTCCTAATGAATGTAAGGATCTTGTCTTGCTTCTAGCAAAGGCCGAATATCTAGAGGGGTGGTTCTCTTACCAAAGGATTGAACCCCTTATTAAACGTATTGCTTCTGAAGAAAGAGCAACATTTAAGAAATTAATTTTTGTTAATAAAGAAATTGGTGAAAGAGTTAAAGAATGGCCATATGAGCAGCCATCACCTCCCAAGGTAGTTGACCGCGATGATCATATTTTTTTTGATGCTGATGAACATTATGACACTAGTGAATTTTGCGAAGACTATGTGTCTGGAAAATGTATGTTAATGAAGCGTAAATATGCTGCATATGCATGCAATATTATGGAATCCTGCAAGCCTAAAACATTGTTAGATCAATTATTTGATCGATACAGGTTTTCTGGTTTTTCAAAAACCTTCTCGGAACTCAAAAATCGATTGCAAGTAGAGAGCTCTATAGAGGGAAGACAAAATATTTTTCTGGTGCTAGTTAGTAAGACTGGTGGAGTACCAGAACATGTAAAAGTCCTAATGAAATTATTGGTAGAACAACATAAAAATGAACCTAGTAACTTGCGCGCTGCTGTAGTTCGTTCATTTGTCAAGCGTGTTTGTTTTTGGCGAATGCCGGAAGATATATGGACTCTTATGTTGGAATTTGCATATACTTTAGGTCTAGATGGTCTTGAAGGTCAACCATTGTGCGTCGAGGGTCTTCATGCTGTCATACTTCGCAGTATTATAAACGGTACCAAACCAACATCGGAACTTATGAACGCGTATCGGAAGAATTTCACTACTTTTAAAGAATATAACTTGTCAGGTTCTGAAGTAAAACTAGTAAAAATGAATTTGACTTCCATGCTTATAGACTATCCGAACGAGTTTTTAGATGTCGTTTCGACATACAATGTTAAAATTCAAGATGTAGTAGGAGCTGTTGATGCTTTGGCCAAAGCAGCTCACGGTAATAAAGATTTAATAAGCCGCTTGTTTGAAAGTCGTGTTGCCCGTCGACAACTGATCGCAGAGACTTTTCCAATCAAACAATTTGAGGCATCTTATATCAATTCTTTACGCCACGATGTGTCTTTATTAAGTGCTGGGGAAATATTCACCACCTTAGCATCCAAGGAAAAAACAAATCACGATCGCTTTCTACGATACTTGAAAATCTATTTTGGTGAAGCAAATGGTTTGGCTGATCAACATTTGGTATCATTAGAAAACGAATTCAAAGACAATCCAAAGATGAGTTTAGTTCGCCCCCTAGCACTGTTAGCGTCTAGTGATACTATTTTAAAAATAATACAATGTTTGACCAACGAGAAAACTAAGCAAAATTTAAAACTAATTCAAGCATTCAAAGACAATATTCATGCAACGAGGCCGCATATTCGGAAGGATACATTTGATTGGCGCTTATTTGGACCAAAAGCCGTTGCTAATCAATTGCTTATATGCAGAATTGTTTCTTTGGAACAAAATATAAAGAAGTGTTTAGAACGGCGAGCCACACATGCTATTGCATTGAGACTTGCCCTGAACACATCTTTTGAGGTTGACACGTTTAAAATAGTCGCAATCAAGAGTCCAAAAGTAACAATCAATGTAGCGACGTCTTATTTTTTTAAAGATTTAGGTACTATTAATCCTGAAATTTGGAATTTGCTGAAGGAAATCATATTAAAATTTCACTACCAAAATCTACCACGCAAATCCCTTCAACGGCTCAGCAATCAGAATAATATTCCAAAAAATATTAGAGCAGACTTTTGGACAACTGTTTATGCAGCATTATCGCAAGTTAATCAAAATAAAGCAATGCGTGCCTTGTATAAATTGGAATCTTCGTTGCCTAATGTTGATAAGGGGCTTTTGAAAAAGATTATCAAAGATTTTATTGAGAACAAGTTCACGGCTGAAAATGTTAAAAAGCATTCTTTCTACGACGACGAAGAACCTACCCCAGACCCAGAAAACATTATGAGCACTGCATCTATGAAGTTGTATTTTAGGCTGATTGCGAAATTTTTGCTCCTTACAACCAGTGAAGAAGAACAACGCGATAAAGTCAATAGCATCATGATTCCACTATTTGATAAACTTGAAGCACTCTGGAAGGAAGTTGTAGATAAATCCTGTCTAAAAAAGATTCTACAAGACTTTTTGATATCGTTCAAATATACACTAGTATTTACAAGTAATCAATATGTGTCTTGTATGCCTGTATTTGAAATGCTTATATCACGGTTACAAAAAGTGATGACTCGTATAGAGAATTTTAATATATACGTTAAGATTCACCTGACTATACTGTATTACAAAGCAATAAGGCATACTTTAAAGTTGAAACCTAACATTTTTGAAGATGATGATAAAACTGAAGCTATGAACGAAGTTGGGGCCAAGTTCGGAGAATATATTGGAAGTGATATTAAGGAACTAGTCAGGGAATTCTTTCCGTCCGTCATTGAGATTTATAAAAATGGCTTAAAGAGCTTTTTCGAAGACTACTTTCCATACAAAAACTGTCAATACACATTCATATTAACAGTGGCGAAAGGAATTTTGAAAAATGATACTTTAGAGGCACAAATGCTGGCTGAATATATGTACGAACAATATAAAATGATGTGGGGAGATTCCGGAGATATTCTGAATATTTTGAGAGAAAGCAGATATCAGGAAGTTCGTTTCTTTTTGAACGCCGATGTTTTTGCTTCCTCACCTTTTTCGCCTCGTTAACTTAAACTATAGAATAACATAACACATATTCTGAGTTCTTTGTTTTCATATACTATATGTTACATTTATATTATGGTATAAAATACCTAATAGTTTTATGTTGTAATAATAACTCGTGCTTTTATCTTACAAATAAGCTTTAACTGTTGTACAAACCTAACTTTTTTATTTTCATATGTATTTTGTAATTGTTGGCGTTTAATAAAAACAAATCTATATTTTTGTGCAACATTTTATTAAAAATATAACTTGGGTCTGAAGTTAACGATTGGGTAACAGCCGACAGACTTATACACAAATTATTTTTCCTAATTTTTAATATCAAGTCGATTTCACATACCATTAAATCCACGGGGAAAGTATTAAGCATAGAGCATAACTTTTAAATTTAACAAACTATTGTATGTATATAGAAAAATAAATCATAAAAAATACTTAACACACTGATAGTAGACGAGAAATTCTAAAATAACAAAAATTCATAATTGTTAAGTATGTCATATTACAAATTAAGTTTTACCTGAAATTCAAAATCTTGTTACAGTTACAACAATTCTATCATCTTGTGATTTGATGTTATTTAATAAAAAAAAAGTAATTATTTTACATATCAAATGTTTTACAATGATTATATAATCGGTGCTCAGTTTCCCAACTAGAACAAGTACAAATCCTTAATCGACTTGAACAAACATTGCATTTCATTGGTAACAATCACAAAGTAGTTAAGTTGCATATACAGTATTGAGTAAATCAATTCATAATAGTAAATAACAACAGACTCACACACGTGTAAAAATTGAAAAAAAAAAGGTTAATTCATGAAAAAAACGGACATTTCTGAAAAAATACAATTTCACACATGTACTTTTGGGTTATAGGACTAGATACACACTATTAATAAAATCCAGTTGTAATAAGTTCGCCTTATAATAGCTGTACAATCGATATAAGCTATATCAACTGCTGCACAGTAACAACACATATACATCAATGAAATGCAAGTTTGTGAATAAATAATAATTTAATAAACTAATCTAACTACGCTTATTTCTCTTTGTTTAATGCTTCTATGAACTCCTCCAGTTTTTCTTGAACTTGGCGCACTCGTTCTATAATAAAAAAAAAACATAATTAAGACGGAACATCCGATCAAATAACAGCTTTATTTTTAAAGTTAGTGAGTAGGTCCTTGGCTGTACTATGAATAAATTACTTACTTAATTCTTCTGCTAGTTCGACTCTCCTACCAGATAGCAATTTCTTCTTTAATTCGGGATCTGATGACATCTGTAACATAATTTAATGAACTGTCAAAATATATATAGTTCTTAAAATAAGATATTTAGTTCACAAAGACAAGGTGATATATAATGTAAGCATAGAGGGTACATTACTTTGTACCTTACAAAATAACTTATATAGGTAAACATGACCGAATAGACATCTATTGACGGTCAACACAGACAATTTAAAATTATTAAGACTAAAGAATATATTATGTCAAGTGAACTATACTATATTTAAGACATTAATTACAAATGAGTATTGGCTGTAGTTAACGCGAGTAGTACACATTTAAATAAAACTCTTTCAATGGTTTAAAACGTGAAATGTACTAGTTAACTTGCAAATTATTTCAACTACTGCACGACGTTCACAATGCTTTGCAGCAGCCGTTAAAAGTGTTTTATTTAAATGTATTCCACTGTGAATGCAATACACGTACCTCGTCTAAGACCTCTCTTAATTCTCTATCGAGCCTTCCCGCTTCCCTATTGCCGATCTGTTGCCGCAACGCGTTCGCTGTTGTACGCAAAGCACTTTGTACTCTCCAAAACATGACTACCTCGCAGCATTCCTTCTGTGAAAAAAATCATATTACAACCAGTTATTCATATGTTTGGACTAGTTATAAATAAGAAAACATTTCAATGCTATAAATTTTCAGACCGCAGAACGGGAGAGAACATTCCATGCCAAATTTAATTTACCAAATAACAAGCTGTTACAGTACAGTAAAGATATAGCTAAATCTCTTAAAAAAGCTGAAAGCAAGTATCGGTTACCATTATAACCCTGTCTTATCTGTCGACTTAAAAGTAAAGTACAAGTTTTAAAATTTAATTTGTTATTTAATAATATGATTTAGGTATGGATATATAATTTTACGATATAATTAAGCCCTAACACCGTTTGAATAGGAAATAAACTCACCCCTGTGCCATTTTGCTGCGTATACAAGTAAAAGCTCTTGCGACAATCTCTTGCTCGGGACAGTGCGCGATTCAGGAAATGCCTAAAACAATATGATGACTGATCTACAGATTCTACTATTAGACGTTATATTGCTGGGCTATTTTACGTACCATAAAGTGAACCCCGATTCTCTACCATAAAAGAAAAATCAACAGCGTTCGTGTTATTGCTATAAGCAATTGAGCTATTGTGTCGCACGCGCATATGCACATCCCGCACAATGCAATGTAGCCTTATTACTAAGGTACTTAAGAAGAAAGTCTGCTTTAGTATCTGATAATCCATATAGTAAGATATAATTGTGAAATCCCATTTCCCCTTTGGGGCGTGGGGCGAACCCATTTTTGTGTCCGTTTCACTGAACCGCTCTTTTTATCAGGCAAGTAGTTGATCAGACTTCTGTGCCCTACCCGACCGGAACAACTGTTTTTTTGTTCCCCTGGGATTCGAACCCAGGACTTCTCGCGCATAATGCGATGCTAGGCAATCCGTTTAACCATTTGGCTACAGAGGCGGTCAACATAGATGATATAATTAGCTGTATAAAAATGCCGGTCTACTAGACATAATTTACTCACTTCAAATATATTGGTTTCCACGTCTGCCGTATGTACTCATTGTCGACCTCGACTCCTCGCCTCCTTAAGTTATCCCTAACAGCCACGACCTCGTCATAAGTCAGACTGGGCCTATTGGAACCGAGACGTTCCAACTCTGACTTTACTTCGGCTCGCCTGTTCTGTTCTTCGTTACTCGACTGCCAGTAGAGCCACCGGTCTCGGAAGCCGGGACCTGAATATTTATTATATAAATTTATTTAATTTCTTATAACTGTAAATGAATAAAGCGTCGTGGATTCAATACATTAATTAATCAATAACTTTTCTCATGTTGGGCTTCCTCTAGAAGTTTGGATATAAAGTACATGGTAGAAATATCAAAATTCCGGTCGGGTCACAAACCACACGATCCACAATTGAAAAGCCGTGAAGTTTACGCACGTTGCGGTTTCAGTTCGTGGATTTCAAATATCCAAAACCAAAATAGATCGACAGTGCATCATGTTACATGTTACATGGCTTGTCTTTTCTATTCTATTATAGAAAAACATAAAAATTCGAACTATGACTTGGTAAGATCTATATTCTATACCCATTACGAATTAGTTACGTCAATAATTTGAAACATTTTTAGTAACACTTTAAACCTTTACTGCTTCTGATGTGATGATTTGATCATCTCCTGTATTGAATACTGACCTGTGAGCGATTTTAATTCATCTTCGGTCAATTTGAGTCGTTCCTTGAGGGCGTCCTCCATGAGCGAAACGGCGGAATCCCATTCTGCGCGTGACGCGACACAACGGTCTTGTAGAGCGTTCACTTGCAGTACACGGAGTACCTGCGTATAGATTTTTTTTCAAAGGGGTTGCCCTTTTTGTTTGTTCCAACGCGCTAATCTCAGGAATTACTGGTTTTAATTGAAAAAAAATATTTTTGTATTGGTTAGAGCATGTATCGTGGAAGGCTATAAAATATTGCGATGTGACTAATAGGACCTAAGACAAAACGGAAAACGTGGAAAATTCATCTTTGTGGGTTTTCCGATGAGTACGTTGCGAAAACTGTTAAAATACCAAAAAATATGAAATATGAGTATGGAAGAATAATTCCCCTTTAAAAGGTAAAAACAAATGTCCTCGACTGTATATGTCAATTCAAATGCAAATCTATCTTTAAGGATTAACTTGCAAGAACGACGAAGAATTTATAATGATGATGAGGAGGAGGATTGCAGAAACAAATTTGGATGCCTAAAATAACTATTTTACGCTGACGAAGTCGCTGGCATAGCAAGTAATAAATAATATAATCTATATAAAGCTGGTCGATGTTTGAAAAATACGTAATAACTCACGTCCTGTGCTCTTTCCTCCCACTGATGTCTCGCCAATGCTTCATCCACAGCCGCTTTCTTCACTGGATCATAGATGGCGTCCGAGTCAGAAGACTTGGACATAAGTTCGCTAAACTCCTCGCGCAGGGCCTGCCTGCCAGCTTGGATGGAGAGAGTCGCAAGTTCATTCTCCGCCCACTCCCGAAGTTTTATATCCACGGATGTGTTGAATTTGTCTAAAAAAGCCAGTTATATTTATATCTCAAAATTCTATCAGGAGTAGGTTCAATACATTTTAGAAATGTTTGTTCTATAACAATAGTCATGAAATACTATCGTACGACAGAAACTAATCAACTCTAAATTAAATACTGTCTATAGTTTACGCGAGTAGTACACATTTAAATAAAATACTTAATTCCGGCCGGCCTTTTGGGGGGTTTTGCCCGCGTGGTCTCCCCGTGACCACAGCTGCTGCAAAGCTAACTAATATATCGCGTTCTACACCGTTAAATTATTTTATTTAAACTCTAAATTACTAAGCGAAAACTTCGATTTTATAATTAATTAAACAGATTATTAGAATCTAGATAAATATATTCTATAATTTACACTTGAACTATCTATGAATGACGTTTATGTATAAATGATTCATAACTGTTTATACCAAATGTTATTAGTTATACTATATCTATATAGGTATATCACTAATAGATTGTGGGTTTATTTGATGCCTTACTGAAATCAAAATCGAAAGGATCGAGCCATATTTGAGTCATGTTTCCATTCTTTGGGTGCTTGTATTTTATTTGACGAGGTATTAAGTCTAAAAGAAATCAATATTAGCCAAGGTTAAAGAAAATACCTTATTTATTTTTATACTAATTATCCCCAGTGTATTGCAACATGGGCCAATGAACTTTATGGAAAACTGTTTGACAAGAATGCCTGGCAGTGATATGAATTGCTCCTTAGGTTAATAAATTCTCAGAAGTATGTTAGTAAGTTTAAAAGTCGGACCGAGTTTCTTGGGTGATCTCGGTCATGTTGCTCTTTGGAACACTCTGTAGAATCACGACAGACAGACAATCTTTTTTGACGAAATTTAATATTTTTTTAAATTTAAAAAAAATATTAAGTATATTTTATTTTATTTATAGCATTTGTAGCACCTTGTATTAAAAGGTACACATATGGTGTCAAAAGCCTTTTTTTAAAACTTTTTCGAGTGAACTTACCAACATCATCACTCGCATTTGCGGCAGCCGGCAAATATATACCAGCGAAGATACGCTGAGCAGCAGCTGCCCAAAGTGCGTTTTGAAGGCGGGCCTCCCACGCAGCGGCCGGGACGCCAGACAATTCTGCCGACTTGTCGAGCAGTTCGGCGCGCGCGCGTTCGAATAGTTCATCGCGATCTAGTTCGCGTTGCCTGAAACATATATCTTTCAAGTGATTTTAAATATTTGGGTCGTTTGTTCCATATATAATCAATCTCTGAATTTCTGTGTCATCAGTGGCAACAACTACACGCTATAAAATGTCACTATCACTAGTTCTCTATGGTTTAAAATCGGCCATATTTATTGTGGTGTTTTGCCAAGTTAGAAAAAAATACATTATACATATATTAATCTCCGTCACTATGGAGCTAGAAATAGGAAAGCTTATCACTTTGAAATAGCAAAAGGCTTTATTGCTATTATATTTTAAATTAATAAAAAATAACATATCTCAACATCTTACTTTTAAGCATATGGCGTAGCATATATAGGGTACTTTTTATATAGGGAGATAACTATAGCATTTAAAAATCGAATAGCAAAATTATGCCATATCAGACATCTAAATAAAAAAATATAAGTAGATTCCAACGCTGTGGCAGAAAAATCCAACTGGATATGCCAAGCACGAGTTGCAATCGAAATAACCGAATGAACGAACGATTGAACCGCTCACCTGGGGAATGTATTCTTCCACTCACTCTCAAGATTGAAACGCATTGCTTTGAATGCATCTGCTTGCTGTTCGACGGAATCCCGTACCATTCTCCAGAAACACTCTGCTACACCAAGTGCTAAGTTACGAGTTGTCACTTGTCCTGCAGCGACCATGCCATCCCTATATCAAATAGAATAATTATATTAATAATATATGCCTTAAGTCTATATTGCCAGTATCGGTTTTGAAGTCGACAAAATAAATGAAAGTTACTTAACTACTAATAGAACTAAAATTGTACGAGAAATAGGACTTTCATATTTTTTACACATGATCGCACATGATGGCACTATATTAATTAAAAAATTGATTATAAATAAAAAAAAACTGTAAAGAGAGTAGAATTGTCACGGTGCTCAATTGGTTAAAGCGACAGCCCAGAACGCTGTGGATGCCAGTTCAAGCCTGCCCGTGTCGTTTTTTTTTTTAAATTTATAATCGATATTCAATTCGAGAAATAGAATGTAAAAACATTTATGTTTAAAAGTTTTAGTAATACTAGTGCCTAGGATAGAACATTTATCCGATATCGGTTGTAATCACTAATGTTTATTGGGGCTCTTAAGCTCCCAGTGAGACAACACATAGCTTTTATTATAATAAAACAATAAATAAGACCTACTTAAAAAGTTTGGAGGATCTGAAGAATCGCTCTTCGTACTCCCGGATGCTTTGTATCGAGTCGTCTTTTCTGCTGCGACCTGTCACAACCGCGTAATACCCAAGCGCCTTCATCGGGAATAGTTTACCTTCTAAAATTCGTCGGATCTGAAATATTTGAATAAGCGTCAACTAGTATAATTGATCTACATTTTCTTGTTAGAACAAGAACTATTTCTACATTCAAATGCACTAATATAACTATACTTATTCAAATGTATATAATAACTAAGTCAATTCAATACTCTGTTGAGATAAAATGTATAAGGCGCAGTGCTGCCATCTATTACATTTACCACATCGCCCGGATAGTTACTTAAGCCTAATGGATTATGAAAATGTTAAGTAAGACTTGTGACTTGAGTATGGTCGAAATAATGGCATTGACGGTTGACAAATTGACAGTGACAAAGCAAACAGATGGTCATTGACAACGTTATTTCGAAACAAGCTTTGTACAATATGTGGTGATGAGAAAAGTATTGTGCCCGCCGAGCATTGTGGTTGCTATCATAAAGCGATTGAGTCTAGTTTAGAGTCAATAGAGGTAACGACTCGGTTGCGTTATAGGTTACTACCGCTGTTTCGAACTTAATGCGTTTCCAAAATTGTGTGTATTATATATTAAATTTCGTTTTGAACTATTTGGTCTGTTGTAACGTAAAAACAGACGTTTACTTTGAATATTCTTAAACAATATTATGAACTTACTCTATTTGGATTTGCCAAATTCTCCTCAGCAAGATCCACTTTAGTCAGCACAAATATAGTCCTTTTGCCTGAAGGATCGCAAGACGACACTAGATCGGTTACATTGCTTCGTTCGGCGTCCACTGAGCCATCCTAGACATACAGGTATAATATTTATACTTAGGATTTTAAGTACGTGAAATCCTATTTTTTCTTTTTAGGAAATTTATTTGCCCTGGACACAACTAATGGTATTTCCACAGGATTTGAACCCGCGGTAAACGCATTAATCGCGATCGCCCTCGACAGGATTTGTTATACATAATCTGTGTTATTAAATAACATATTTGATTACCTGTATACAGAGTATGATAGCGTTTGGATTATCCATGTACTGTTTTGTCATTTCTTTGATGGCTTCTCTTGTATCGGCAGCCATATCAACAGTTTGAGTCTGTAATAAACAATTTTAAACAATTTAAAAAGTATCGTTTCGATGGGATTGTTGGTGTAATGTAGCAATGTATGGCTCATAATCATGCGGTCGTGGGTTCGATACTCAAGGGCAATATATTTATATCAAAGTTCCGTCCAGGTCACAGATCACCGTCCACTGATAAAAAAGCCATCTAGTTTAATCGCGTTTCGGTTTCAGTCAGATTTCCGAACATTGAAAGCCAAACGTAGGTAGACAAAGCATCTTTTTTTAGTTCTTTTTTGGTTTAGTATTTCTTCTACCATAAAATGAACCCAATGCTTCTCTAGCTAAAAAGTATTATTATCAAGTAATGTTACTTTAAGTAAATTTTATTTGCGTCGCTACTTGAATAGTAAGTAACCTAGACAAAATTTCAGGATTTTTTTTGCAAAAATATTTAACACTTACAGATATAACACCAGGTAAGTCGACCAGCACCATACGGGGTATGCCAGGTCCCTTCACAGACATCGCGATCTGCTGAGTTGACACAGTACGACCACCGCGTACACTGTTGCGCATGCGCAGTTCGACCTCCCTATAAAAAGCAATTGGTGGAATCACACTACTTATTCTCTACGATTTAAAGTAAAATTAGGAATATTTTGTTATTAATCTTGGGTTTCAAAAAATCCCTTAAAAATATACTAGGGTTTTTTTTGGCACGGTTTTAGTGACCACCCCTCTTTCTAAACGGCTCTACCGATTTTTATTAAATTTTACATGCAAATTCAGTAGGACTGAGAATGGGTTACTATCTTAATATCATTCACCTAAGGGATAAGCACTATCCACCGTTAACATTCTTTATATTTTTTATAATGTAACATTAAATATACATACAAACCAAAATTTTCACCATTCTATCACCAACACTAACTACAATTTTTTAAATAGTTGCTTTAGTGACGTAATATTCTTTTATCCCTTAATATCTGATTAATAATCACTTGGAAAGTTTTTCCCCCAGATGTTTGGTGGTGTAAATAAATAAATGTATGGTGTTTGTTATTTTTATTTGTCCTCACTTAATCACTCAAGATGACTCTTTTTCAACTTTCACCCATATACCAGATGCTTACATAGTAGGAATTCCCCAAAAATAATTTAATGGCAAAACAACGTTTGCCGGGTCAGTTAGTTATAAAATAATATAGACTATGTATATATATTATATATTCAAATTTTTACACTTACTTGCGCAAATCAGCTAGATCAGATTCCTTATTAAGGTCAAATTCACGAGACGAGTCGTTAAACTGGGCCACGTGGTATGGACCTTCGGACAGTGTCACTTTTACAGGGGCTCTACAAAACAATGACGATGGGAGTCACCTAGATGTTGCAATTCAAATTCAAATACTATATATATTTATCGCTTAACGCACTTGTTGTTTTACTTTGATTGTTATTTTTACATTTGGTTTAAGATTAAGGAATATCGAAATTCCGTCCGGGGTCACGAACATCCTTTCGATTTCAGTCTGTGGATTTCTGAATATCCTAATCCAAAATAGGCCAACTATGCTTGGCTATCCTTTTCCATTATAAAAAAATTAATACCTGGTACACATTTCACCAGCACCTCTAGGAAATATTCTAGCTTGTGCTAGCATCTCCAAAACCGACGTTTTTCCAGCTGACTGGTCTCCAACAACAACAACTCTGGGCAACCTTCCTGCTTCCCCCGAGTCCCAGTCTGCTAATTCGTCTAGTACAGCGGAGTACATGTCGATGAGGGAACGCTACAAACAAATGTTTATTTAAAAAAATAATAATTTAGCCAATAGAAATTTGGTTTCCTAGTGTTTGATTTTTTCTATGTAAATTTTTTACTTACGTTTAAAATGATTGTTCTAGAATTTTTAGAATCAGAGAATTGCCGCTCTTTAAAACGCTATATATATTAGTTAAACATATTTAAAAATTATTTTAACTACGGCTGTTTCTTTGCAGCAGCCGGGGTCACGGGGCGTCTCTCCGTTCAACTAATATAAATCGCGTTTTAAACGGTTAAAGTGTTTTGTTTTGTTATTGCTGTTGTGTCAAGGAAATAGCGTTATTATTTTAATAAGAATCAATGGCGTATATTAATGCCTATATATTTATTAAAAAAAAATTAGAACGTCCAAAGCCAGTGTACGCCAGGACAGTAGTTACAAAGAGTTAAAATAACATTAGGACATAATTTCAGAGGCAGACAATACAACATTGTGTGAAGAGAAGAATCTGTGAAGAGGTAACTTTCCTATATATCGATTATTAAAATTTGTACCCTCATCTTTTTAGTAGATGGCTGTCTTCCTTGCCTCAGCAACATATTTTGTTGTCGCAACTCTCTATTCTCCTGCTCTAACCGTTGTAGTTCGCGTTGATAGCGCGCTTGTAAAGAGAGAACTTCTTCTTGTAAAGCATGAACACGACGCTCTGTAAAAGTTATCATTTGTTGTATACATAATTTAGCTTATTATACAGAAAAGTGAATACTAAATTACTTTTAATTAAAAAATGATATACCATAAGCTTCTTTTTCATCAGTATTTGGCTTCGCTGACATCGGTGCTGGTCGACTTTGTAAGTTGTTCACAATTTTTGGGGCAGGCTCTAAAATAAAAATATATGACATGAATGCCGTATTTTTTCAAAGACTCACCCTACTCGACTTGGATAATAATAACTTCTGCTAGAATAATTTTATGGCTTTCACAATAAGTATAATAAAATTAACAGATTTCGTCCTTAGTCTTTACCTTAGCTATTTCTATACTATATAAAGCTGAAAAATTTGTTTGTTTGTATGTTTCAACGCGCTAATCTCAGAAACTACGGGTTCAAATTGAAAAATTCATTGTGTTGGTTAGAGCATTTATCGAGGAAAGCTATAACTCATCAATCTGTGTCTAAAAGGAGCGAAGATACAGCGGGAAATGTGAAAAAAAACGGGGGAAATTATTCATCTCTGTGGATTTTCGATGTGACAAACGATTCAAGACACCCAAAAAATATTTATGCAAGAATGATTTTTTATATGATCAAAAAAAAAGTCCGCGAGACTATATATCTATCGTTTAAGATTAATTTTCAAGAACGACGTCGTGGCGCTTAAATCTATATAGATGAAGTGGAGGTTGTAAAAAATAAATTTGGACGCCAAAAATAACTAGTCTACGCGGACGAAGTTGCTGGCACAGCTAGTGTTGAATATAAATAGTTTAACAGTGTTTCCTTACCAATACTACTTGTAGCGTTATTAACAGCTGCAGCGGCCACCGCGTCCTCATATCGTTGGGAGAGCCAATCGCGAAGTTCTGCTGCCCTTGCAGCCCCTGCTTCTCGTAGCCTCGGATCTGGGGTTATCGACAGCGTCAGTGGCACACCTACTGTATAACCACAACTGAGCACATGTGCAATGGCCTACTGTTTAACTAGTTCATGGCCACTACTATTAAACTTTTGTGAGATACAAATCCGTTTGTTTAAACTAAATTTAATTGAAATCAACTTGTTTATGTTTATTTGCATTTTTTATGTGCATTTATCAGATCATTATGATACGGTAATTGTTTAAACATTTTGTTCCTATTTAGTTATTATTTAACTATTTCTTAGGCTAAGATCATAAAAGTTATACTTTAAATAAATTTAAATTATTATCTATAAAACAGTCTTGTCATTTTAGTTTTCTAGGTACTTAGGTCTGCTTTGAACAATCTGTCTTAGGTCTAGGAAGTCTTAGTCTTATGTCATGGCATCATAAGTACAAAACTTTGTGACAACAAATATCATTTTATAAATTTTGATTTGAATTTCAAACATGTAGATATTGTTTTTGAAGCTAACAAAAAAACTTTCTTAAGAAAACATTCATATTACATATTATATACAAAGCAGGTAGATTTGACACATGTACAGTGGCTTTAAGTTATACTTACCAATTTGTAATTGGTCTCCAATTTTTCCCTTAGCATCAAGCAGTGTAGTGGTAAATTTCTCCCACTGCTCATTATCTGGTAGTAAATCATTCAGCCAGCCCATTTCAGGAAGGCCATCCTTCCATTCTGCATATTTCTAAGAGCAACATATAATTCAGTCTATTCTTGTACCCATCTTAATCACTTGTAAGCATTTATTTCTTACTAGCTGTGCCCACGACTTCGTTCGCGTGGAATAGTGACTTGGGGTAGAATTTTTAATTATTTAGGCCGTTTATTAATTTATGTAATTGCGTATTTATCGCAGCCAATCTATGTTGTAAGAGCTATATTGCCGCAACACTCTCACCTCACATCACTCCTACTCTAACTTTCACTCTCACTCTCACTCCCACTCCTCCATTCTCAAATAGCCAAAAAAAGAAAGTTTCAATGTTCTATCTTCAAAAACCACGAATTTCCATACAAACTTTCACCCCCCTTTTAACCCCTTACAACCCCCTTTTCGCAATAAAAAGTAAGTTCTTTCTCAGGGTCTAGACCATATGTGTACTAAATTTCATTCAAATCCGTTCAGTAGTTTTAGCGTGAAAGAGTAACAGACATACAGAGTTACTTTTGCATATATAATAATAGTAAGGATATTACACATACATAAAAGAAAAAAATATTTTATTTCTAAAAATTTGACTCATTTTAACTATGAAAGAGTAAGTAATTGGCTGCCCTAAGCCTGAATACAAATGGAAAAGAATACATTATATCAAATAATAATTATTTCATTTCCATTCTTCATTATAAATATGTATAGTGCTTTTTACATATTTTGGTTTGCAAGCTTTTCAACCGTTGTAACTGAGCCATGGTATTCTAATATAACATTTCAATCTCTAATAAGACAAAGAACACTAAACCTATTCTGAAAATGCCATCCACTTATAATAGTGAAATACATATTAGGAACCATTTCTCTATTACAACAGCCAAGCTATTTTCAAAATAAATCAAATGGGTGGTCAAACATATCTAGGAAGAACAGACCTTATTTAATGTCATTCCTCCACCAACAGCTCCTCCCAGAAGCAAATATCTGATTTTTAAAACTCCCCGGACTGCCCGAGCAATTAGCATGCCATATTTTCTCCTGGGTATTTGATAGCTGTCTAAAGGCTTGTGTAGCAAAACGCTGCGTCCTGTCCATACTGAAAAAGCCACTGCTCTTTTATCGACACATGACCATGATGGCTTCCTAAGAGACAATCTGAAAATATTTCAAGAGTTAACCTTAAAATATTTTATATTATATAGCTTTAGTAATTGCCAAGAACAGTACCTCATCCGATGATTCAATATTCTAGACATACTTCAAGCTTTCCTTTAGCTTATTATCAGTGTTTAAAATAACATAGTAACCAATAAGGGTTTCAAGTAGATTTCATCAATTTTCTAGTTCATAACATAAGCCGGTTGACAATACAAACAAATAAAATCAACACCAATTAATTGGTTTTCAAAATTCAACAATTATAATAGCAAATATATTACACAATCAACATAAAAATCATAAAAGATTACTTCATATTTTGAAAATTTGACAAGCAGGGTGACTTCAGTCAAGGTCCATTTTCAAAGTACGTTCCGTTTTACTCCACCTGAAATACGACTTGTTATACGATTTGTTGTTTAGTTGCTTTTATCTAGTTACAAAATATGATAAAAACTACATTATTCTGTATTTACAATCCAGAAATATGTGTCAAATTACAAATTTAGTGATCTATCTAGTTTAATAAAGTTAGTTTTATTGATCCAATTTACAACGCGATTTAGTATCTTTCATAGTTTTTTAATTATTGAATTGTACTACTCGTAAATTTAGACAGTATTAATGTATCGTTGTCCACTTTAGCCAGTCGTACGTATCGTGGATCAAGATAGACTTTGACATATTCCCTAATTGACATTTAAATAGATGATATGTCAAAAATGAAAATGGTTTTATTTGGGGTTCAATGAATGAAATTCTGCTGCGATTTTTCATAAATTTACATAAAACATAAGCGCCTACTCAATAATTCGTCGTCATCACCGTGTTGGATACAGTGACTAAAATAATAATATTATTGAGTTATATTAGTGCGAAGTGTTGACGGTCTAAATTGTTAAAGTGATATCATCATATTTTTTTGCTCACCGTAAGTATTTTCAAAGGATTTCGATAAGGCTAAGTTTGTTTCCTTGAGATTTCAATAAAAGAGACTGCATATTCGGATAAGGAAGTGGAAATCACATTTGGTTCTTTGACCTTTTATACGATGTGTGAAGCCGCAGTATCGTAGTTTCGATCGTGTTATTTTTAGATTTGGGAGTGCTTAAGATCCATCTACGTCTGTTTACGTACCATAATTAACTCAAGTACGTATTACAATAAAAATGAAGTACAAATTTCACTTTTAGCTGAGAGAACTCTTCAAATTTAATTAAACAAGTTAATTTAATTATTATATGTCAGCAAGCTTAGTTATTAAAACCTTGATGTTCTATTGAGTAAATTGATATGTTAAGGTCTTCCCGTTGACCACTGGAACACCATATTAAACTAGATATCATTGCAAATAGTTTGTTCACATGTGGTTATTGTTTTATCAGCATCATTGACCTTAATTAAAGAATAAGTTATATTAAAAATTTGTAAGTAACATGGTAAATAATATTTTTAAATATAATAAGTCTTTTAGAGTCTAAATATTTTTGATATGGTAATGTATGTAATTATAATACAAGTACAAAAATAATATTACTGCTGAAAAATATGTCTTTGTTTGCTTGAAGTATAGAACTTATTGATGAATAAGAAGAGATGTATTCTTAAGTGAAATTACTTATATCTTTAATGTAGCTCAAACAATCCAATCAATGTAACCTACATCATGCAGGAAACAGATTAAAAAGGTGCTGCAATAGAGGTCAAAACACTATGAAGGTTGAATAAAAATAAACTTTATTGCTCTAACTGTAATGTTAATAATACAGTTAGATGATTTGCAATTGTAATTATCTCAATTACTTTTCCTGTTTATTAATTAGGTATCTTATATATAGTCAATGTGAGGAATAAATTATTTATTAAATATTCATAACATATTATGTGCTACATTTGGTCTGTTCTTTGATACAGATTATATGAAAAATCGTTTTGGCTTATGGTAACTTAAGAAAAGTGTTATATACAACTACACCTAAATATTTTATGATTTAAGCTTGATAAACCCCTCTATATTATTGTAATCTTCACAATAACACAAAACCTATAATCAAACTTGAACAACCCACTGTCATCCTTTAAGAAGATACAAAGGAAAAGCCATTTTAAGATTTAAGCATATACTTGTAACTATAAAAATGTCTATTGAACAATTAGTATAGGTTTTATGGACTATGTACTTGTTAATTTGCATTTTAAGTAAACATGAAGTTCAAAATGTTATCAAACAGAGTATTGTTTGTGTAAGATGATGTCATCAGGACATGCAAGATGAGTTCAATGTTTGGTATTTGAAGTGGGTGTAAGAGATGTATTTTTATTGCCGACACTGATGTTGTTTCTATTAAAGATTGGTACTTCTTGTTTTAAATAATAGGTCTAGGAACCTAGTGGTTTTCCTTACATGGGGTCATGAGACACTTTTTAAAGTTACTAACCTATCTGTCTGTTTACTATTTCTTAAGCATTCAAGCTGGTGATATTTTTTTTTTTTTTTTTTATGATAGAGGGGGACAGACAAGCCATGGAGTTCACTCTTGGACGGTGTTTGTGACCCTGTGGTATTTCTATATTCTTATCATTCATTGAATATCCAGATTTCCAGACGAAGTACAACATGTTTTAGAAAAAATATAAATTGAAAACTTGGAAACATTTTGGTCTTAGTAGGAATCGAACTCAAGACCCGTAGACATGATTGTGGACATACATAGCTACCATTAGACTTACAAACCCGTCACGAAAGCAGCACGTTTAAAACTGACAACTTGGTATTGCATTTAATTGTTTTATTTGTATGAAATTCTTTCATGCACATAAAAAACTGTTTTTCCCAAAGGCCCTAAGGCCTAAAGCATAGAGACTTTGCAGTAGACATATGTTTACTAGGCCGCTCATTCACATCGCATTTTCATGAATAGACCAGTTGACCTAGAAGGCTTTTGCTAAATAAATACTAAAAGTACCGAGATTATAACAACGTTTCTCAAAATATACCTTTATTTTGAAATACATAAAATACTAGCGACCCGCCCCGGCCTCGCTCGGCGGCTATGCGATTCTAAATACACTACAGCAAAACTATGAACGTTGTTAAATAAAGACATTTCGTTCGAATTACTCTATCTATTAAAAACCGCATCATAATCCGTTGCGTAGTTTCAAAGATTTATGCTGTCATAAGGACCGAAAGAGCGACTTTGTTTTATACTAAGTAGCGATGACTTAAAACCAAAATATACGAAATTGTATTTGCTTAATATTTTAGTAACATTTATTTGTGAAAAATAACAAATGTTTATTGTTATTATCCGATATTCAATATTTATTCTGTTACTATCTAACTTCCGTTGCAGGAGCGGTTAGCTGTGATAATGTGTGGCCACAGATAATCGACAGTTGTTCGTAAGTATACATTTCATGATTCGTAAGCAATAAAATGTACACACATACGCAACTAGTCGAGTTCTAAGTAATCTTTGTTTCGTCTACATAAAATGGTATAATCCCGTTTCTTTCCGCGGGGCATGAAGTGGAGTACATTTCTGTGTCTGTTTATTTCGTCGCTTTTATTTATAGGCAAGATTCTTTCCCCTGATTCTCACCAAAACTTAAGCTTTTATATACCATAAAAGTGCTAAACTCGACCGATTCGACTTTTAACCCGCGTTTTAAAGCATTGTTGTGAGTAGTCAAATTTTTCTATGATAGGCCCATTTGGCCATCCGGAATCCGGAATTTGGATATTTCGAAATACACAGATTGTAACCGAACATCGGACGGAATTTCGATATCCTACCGCCCATGTCTAACACGTCTAACATTATAAAAAAATGTTTAGAAACATAGTAACATACTAGGGATCGAATCCCCCCGTTCATTAATAGCCATACGTTGCTACAAACTACAAAAAATACTTTTCAGTTATTATTGAGAGTGATGACTCGTTACGTATATTATAGCTCACACAAATAGGTATATTGGATTTTAAAATTTGTGTAATGTGTTAATTTATAGTGTAAACTATGGCGTCTGTGTGGAAACGCCTGCAGCGCGTGAACAAACGCGCTGCCAAGTTCCAATACACCGCTTCGTACCACCAGATAGAGTTGGAGCTCACCCCCAAATGGTAGGTGTGAAGGGTGGGACGTAGTTGCCTTTATGTCTGTACGATAGTATTGGTTATATTTACAGTAAGGATTATATTTACAGGGTACATATTTGAACCTTCAAGGTTTTTAAATAACTTAAATTAGAGTTAAACAACAATACGGGTAGTATTGATATTATATTATATATTGTTATTTAAAAAAATCTATTTTGGTCTTAATGGCTTATGAGCTAGAAAATTGGATTTTTTTAAAAGGATTTTCAAACTTTGTTAATAATTACTATATAAATTGAAAACTTTTTTTCACATGTTATCGCTATATAAATTAAAAATTTATAATAGATTTAGAAAAAAATACTACTCGGGCAGGACTTGAACCGGCATCTACAGCGTTCTACAGCACGGAATTTTTCACATTTTATTGGGCGTGAAGGAATGTTTTTAAATTAAATCTGTTCAGCTTAAAAATAACCAAAGAATGCCGGATCAAGCCCGATCGAAATTTTTCAATCTAAATATATGTTTAATAGCTCTAGCTTCAAATTGATTTGTTTTAATGTACATTACAGGAAACCAAACAAGTTGAGCGTTGTATGGACTCGCAGATCACGCCGTGTTGTCACTGAGCCTCTAGATTGGGAGCCCTCTCTTAAAGACCCACTAAAGTAAGTGTTTTGTATGGAGCAAGCTCAAGTCACCTAACATGCGCGACTCCTGAAAACTTTATCTACAATTTTAACGCCCCTAATAAGGTAGCATTTTCATCTCGTTATAGAAGTAATGTTGTAAACGAACCCTACTATTATATTATTATTTGTTCAAAGCTATATGTATATACTGTCTGTACTTTACACAGTACACATTTAAATAAAACACTAACCGCTTTAAAACGCGAAATATTTAAGTTAAACTTCGGGAAACTTAAACGTAGTGTTCCCGTTGTCACGGTTGCTGCAAAGCGTTGGAAACATAGTTAAAATAATGTGTTAAATAAAACACTCTTATGGTTTAAAACACGATATATTAATTAAACTTATTTGAAAATGATTTTTAACTTCGGCTCGAAGTCCGGATGCTTTGCAGCAGGGGCCGTGGTCACGGGGAAACGTCGGGCCGAATTTAAAAATCATTTCAAATAAGTTTAACTAATATATCGTGTTTTAAACCGTTAAAGTGTTTTATTTAAATGTGTACTACTCGCGTAAACTATAGACAGTATTTAAAATAATGACCTGATAAATAAATTTAATTAATGACATTTAGGTATTAAATTAGACCTGAAGCAGTATGCGTTCTGTCGATCTTACCAATTGAGTTACCGTGTCCTACACGTCATCATCGATTTTTTTCAACATACATTCATCTATCGCGTAATATAATTTTAATCTTACCTTGTGCATTTAGTAAAATTGGTTACTATTTCAGGGGTTCAGTAATATTTGGCGTTGAAAACCACACAGTCGCTGTTACGTTGTTCAGGGACTCGCGAACTAATGAACTTGAAGACAAAGACTGGACATTTGTTTTGGAAGATGTAAGTATAGCCTAACTTACATATATACTAAGTACAAACAATACAAAAATATAGTGTATGTTCGTTAAGTTATATAGGCAGTATATCAAAAGATAAATCTCTAGTCTTAAAACAAATTAGTAAGAAATAAAATGTTATTTACAGTAGCTTCAAGCTAAAATGAAAAAAGATCTTTACGATGGATTCATATTTTTAATAAGGTTATTAAATCTTTAATGTTTACCAGGTATCAGTCACTGGGAAAAGGCGTCGCCTGGCATCGTGCGCTGTCAATTTGCGTCGGCACGCGTCACTTGCGCCCGCGCAGAAAGCCCTCAAACTGACTTTAGAGCCGCTAACTCGAAAGCTAAAGGCTGCAAAACTTCATCTTACGTTACATTGCGTATTATTGAGGGAGGGTCAAGCTACGTGAGTATGAGAGATTCTCTTATTGGTCAAATTGCCTACGATCAAATTAAACATATGGATGTAATAATAATCATCACCATAATCCATAATAAAAAAAAGAAATACATAGACGTTATATACCTTTTTTGGAGTTTACGTGAGTAGTACACATTTCAATAAAACACTTTAACGGTTTAAAACGCGATATATATTAGTTACACTAATTTGGAATTTTTTTAAACTATGGACCGACGTTTCGGATGCGTTACAGCAGCGTTTTTCCCCCCTTTTAACCCGTAAACCTTTGCCCATTTGTTTCATCTATAATCACTGATACATCTATCACATGCCTTTTCTTTTACAGTGACGAGGATATGCAATCTCTAGCTTCGCTGTTATCAGTGAACAATAACTCCGATATCGCAGTCCTAGAAGATCTCGACGAAGATGATTACACACTCTCCGATAATTCTACTAGACAAGTAAGCAATTCAATTAGAAATAATAACTTGTTAAAAACAAGTTATTATTTCTAATGTAGTGGGTAGTTTTACGTAAGTGCGCTTTGAATTATAATTTAAGAGATTTTAATCCTTATAAAAAAGCCTTTATTGCTTATATTTTTGCATTGGTTTTCCATCGGGGAGTTCAGGAGATGTTAGCTCCTCGATTGCTCGAAGAATTAGATTTGATGATGCCACCCGGTGATGGCGAAACGTCGAGAACCTCTTTCCGATTTGTCCCGACAGAAAAACATGATATGCTGAACGATGGCCGTGAAAGCCTTACACATTTTTTTGCCTTTATTGCTGTTATAAAGTTCAAATAGAAATTCATCTAGTCGCTATAAGTATAATTTATACTATAAAAAGCATTATTCCTTAACATGTATGCTTCTTTTATTGCAAACAGAGTGCAGCAATTTAATTGCTGCAGTTGCCTGGCCCTTGCCCCTCTTGTCCATCTTGTATCTTGATAATCCTTAATCTACTTTATATATAGAATATAATCAAATTGGGTGAATATTCTTACTATTGTCATAGAGAGGAAATAGGAATTCCTTTATAATTTTAAACAATTTCAGATGCTCGACCTTCGTCAGCAAATGGAAGAAATGACACAGAGTCTAACAAATTCTGATATAGCAGCGACACCTAACAGCGTACAGAGTCTCAACTTCGACAAAACACCAACTGCCCCACAAACCCCCTCTCCCACTACCCCCACAAATACCCAGAACGTACCACCAGAAGATGCAGTGACCCCCAAGAATAGACCAGAGTATTTGAGCAGTTTGACCAAAGCGATGAGAGCTGAACCGAAGTTTAGTTCTACACCGAAACCAGTTGTTACTACTGAAGACAAAGTTGATAACTTAAAAGGTGTGCCTTATAGGTTCAGATTATTAGGGTTTTGTATTTTTCTTATGATTTTCTGGTAAGACAGAACAATAACTACTAATGTACACTCTGACAAAGTGGAATGCATTTGCGAAAAAAAAAAAAAAAAAAAACAATAAAAGTAAATTTATGGTGCCGTGTAGGTGTTCCTTATGTACATAATATTTTTATATATTTTTAAGTACTAAAATAGTAAATAGTAGAAATCTATTTTTCCTTATTTTTGCCATCCTCAGTTTCAGGTTTAGTTTTCAAACCGAAAACCGTCGCTAAACGTAATCTTAAACCGCTAGAACTGAAAACGAATTTAAATAACATCAATTTGGACACTAATGACAACGAAAAGAGAGGGGATGAAGAAAAAACTCCCGTCCCAGAAGAGAGACTTACAGTTACACACATTGAAAAAGATAAGACACCGGTGAGTAGAAATTCTCCCCCTATATTGCATGGGCCATATACATTTTCGTAAGTAGATTATGATGCTAAGTAGTTGATCAGCCTCACGTAAGCTGCCCGACCAATACATTAGGTATGTTTTCCCGAGATACAGGACCCAGGACATGAGAAGAAGTTCGTGTTCAGTTGTTCATGATATCACTAGTTCACGATTTTTTTCTAAATAAAGTAGTACATTTACTATCCAGGCCACTATCTAAGTGCCCTCATCTCGAATTTATGGTGTAGAGTATATAGAGATATGGTAAGAAAAGTTTTGGGCGCTTTCCTGCTGAACTAAAGATGCTAAAATTCTACTTGCCCATTTTTATTTATCTCGATTTATATGACTAATTTTTTTTTGTTGTTTTTTTTTCAGATGGTAGATCTAGTCGAGTGGTGTCAGAGCGTGGCACGGGACTACCACCGCTGTCAGGTCACTGACCTCACCAGCAGTTTCAGATCTGGACTTGCTTTCTGCGCTATTATACATCACTTCAGACCCGATCTTATGTGAGTATTAAACATCTGTTTATAGACGATAACATGAAAAAATAGTACTTGACCCGACGATTATATTAGATAAACTTATTATTATATTATATTGTACTCAGAGCTGTGTTTCCTTAAATAAAAAAGTTCTTTTCTTTAGACTAATATATTTCACGTTTTAATTCGTTAAAGTATTTTATTTAAATTAGTATAACATTCTTGCATATCTTATACTGGTATACGTATTTTGTAAAGATGCGTAACCGGCTTAAGAATGGGTGATAATAATGTCCATTCAATATTTCAGTGACTTCTCTGGTCTTCAACCAGAGCAAAGTGAAGAGAACGTGCGCCGTGCACTAGAAGCCAGCGCCAAATTGGGGATCTCGCAAGTGCTGACCGTAGCTGATGTTTGCGGAGGTCCCTTGCCTGATAAACTAGCTGTAAGTAAAAAAGTGCCTCTGCCCCACATGTCAGAATTTCAAGTTTTACCAATGTTGGAAATATGGTATGGGGTTTTTAATAACCGAGGATGTCCTCCTCACGCATGGGGTTCCCTTACAACAATTACGTTATGAAGAGTATTTTAAGTTTAAAGTATTGTGAAGTTAAATTAAGTTTCGATTTTCAGCGTAGACTTTCTATCTAAAAATTGATTTATGTATTCATAGAGCTATCATAAGAAACACAAAAAACTATAATATTGTACCTCCTTACAGTCTTATTTAAGGTACATTATTTAATTTCAGGTAATGACCTACTTGTTTCAACTTCGGGCACACTTTACAGGGAATGAGTTGCAAGTGGAACAATTAGGTATTTATTGTTATGGATTGTAATTTAAGTCATTATAGTATCAAGAAATCACGTTTCATCTATGTAGAGTAAGAGCTGACACATATCTGCGTCTCTTTCACTAATTAATCTTATCAGGCAAGTATCTTAGCAGACTCCTGAGCTCTGCCCTACCGAAACAATATATTTTTCACCAAGATTCGAAGCCAGGGCAAGCGCTATAAACCTACTCTTTTACTAACAAACTATGAAATAACTTAAATAATAAAAAGCATTATTGTACTTTATTATGTGTCTCTATCAAACAGGAAATGACGAGACAGAGTCGTCATATCTCGTAGGAAGACACGACACAGATGACAGTCTTCCACCTGAGCTCTTCTCTAGAGAAGTTAGTACGAGGCGATCTAGAAACGTCATGGAGCGTCCGCCAGTTCTGTAAGTTGACAATAATTAATATTTGTAGTGTTTATACACTTCTTAACTATAAATAACATCTGTAGAATTATTATACAACAATACCAATAACAATATTGATTTTCTTGAGCTACAAAGCATAAGACATTGGACCTTAAAATGTAGGTGTTAAGGTTGAAATTGCGTCGCGCGACTGCCTATATCAATAATTTAAAAAAAAATTAATGAGTAGCTCAATTTTTTAGAGCGAGAACACGCTGTGGATAGCGGTTCAAATCCTGGCCGGGCTGTTGATTTTTTTTTTTCAATGTAAAATGGATGTTTAATTTATCTAACAATACATTTTTATTATTATTCTTATTTCTATTTTCTATGTCTGCTTCTAATATTTGTTGTTTGTTTCATAGTAAACAAGAATCGCAAGAGTCTCGCCATTCCCTGGATCTATCCCCGGATAAGTCGCCAGGTATCAAGGAGATGAAGGATATCTTCCAACAGTCGAAGAATATTCTTGGCAAAATGCTCTCTCCGGCGAAGGACTTGCGGGACAAGCCGACAGCGAAATGGTTCAATGAGCCCATTAAGAACGAGGTAAGTGTTAATATTCAACAAAATATTTACAATGAAACCTGGGTAATTGCAGTCACAAGAGACCAAGTTATGCCTATATTTTTTGAGGGTTTCCATCCAGTTTTAAGCAGGTTGAAAAGTTTAGTTATATCATTTACAGACGCCGTCGCGTTAAACAACATGCGTAAACAAACATGTCAGAACGTGGTAAAACATCAGACTTTACAGAGTCTTAATTATAGAAACGATAAGTCTTAGAATTCAAATCTCATTGACAAAGGTGGTAATGAAAGAGAACCGGGACTTCATTGCAACTCGCAATATTTGAGGTTTCTCATATCTCAAGATCTTACTTCACTGTATTCAATTTTACATGATGCATAATAATTAGTTTATAAAACAAGTTTTTATTTAACGTCAAAATATATAAAATATTATCCATTTGAAAAAAAAGGAAGTCGGTTATTTTTTGATACAATATTTATTAATTTCAATTCCTTAGTTGTTAAAGCATACACGGAATAAACGTTACGTGTTGTCAAAAATAATATTCAGTTTTACTTTTTATAGCGTCATTGATGGATCAAAAAAAATAGTTTAATGGATAAATGATTACAGCCCCTGCCCCGCCCTGAGAAACTGATGACTCGCAAAGAACTGACTGATCCCTTCGGGTCTGATGATGAGGAAGAGCAGCCCGCCTTTAATGATACAAATGAAAATACTGGTAAGCTTACAAGATTTAATATACCTTAGTGATTGTACCATATTATGCCACAGGTTTTTACTAATCCATTTTTTTTTATAGAAAAACAAGAACACAAGTTGACAATTGCACCAGCCACCGCCGATCCATTAAACGTTAATCAAGTGCAGCTAAACGGTAATGATAAACCGAAATCGATCACACCGGAATTACCAAAGCCTACACCGGTAAGTACTAATCGCTTCTCTGGTTTTGCTTGGTCTTTTCCCCCGTAGAATGTCGCTAATGATTTTGTTATATGTTTTGGAGAAATCTTAAATCATAGACTTGTCAGATGTAGAGTTTTAACGTTTTGTTTCATAACCCTTTCGCAAATTGGCCTATAAATTATTCTTCAATTAAAACCAACCATTATACACTTTTAAATAAAACACCTTAACGGTTTAAATTGTGATATATTAGTTACTCTTATTCGAAAATTATTTTACCGGCCCAAACGTCAGGCCGTAGGTAAAATTATTTTCAAATAAGTTAAACTAATATATATTACGTTTTAAATCGATAAAGTGTTTTATTTTAATGTGTACTACTCGCTTAAACTACAGACAGCATTTACATACACTAAAACATCATTTTTTCCATTCCCGAATCATCATGGCTTCCATTTTGTGTGTGTTCCAATTGGACGAAACGTAACGCTTGGAACGCTACGATTGGCTAAAATCCCGATAACGCTTGCTGATTGGTCGAATCGCTTGCTTCTCATTGGTCAGCAATTGTTATCGCGTCACGATGAGCTGAAAGAGAAGGCTAGACAATTGCTAGAAGCTACCAAACGCGAGGCGAGGGAAAAAGATAAAAAGAGACAGAGTTTGAAAGAGAAAGAGGATCGGAGCGAGATAGCAAATGGCCTTAAGAACGGTGAAAGTCCGAAACGGGTGAGATTTTGGGTGTTTTAATCGATATTTTACACAATACCAAGAATAGTAAATGTCTTGAGTATTCGAATTATCATTATGAAATTTATATTCTGTTCTATTTTTATGCCCAGCCTAACTATTACTGTGTTATCAAAAAGGATTAAATTTTTAATAGTGTAAAGTAATCTTTGTTTCTACTTGTTAATATTTTTGGCATAGGCACTTAGCTCTGTATTAATTCTAGGGCATGACTGAAGAGGAGAGACAGACAATGTTACGCGAGAGAGCGAGAAAGATGATAGCCGACGCAAGAGCTGGTATTGTCAGGTATTATGAACATTTTAAAAAATATGTAAATCCATATTACTTCTATTTAGTTCCTATAAAATAAAAAATCGTTTTTGATTGAAAATATTTACGATACAGTCAGGACTTGAACCGACATCTACAGCATTCTGCGCTGTTGCTCTAACCTATCCTATTGATTAGATGTTTTTAATTTCAGTCCAAAATCTCCAATGTCTCCATCTCGTGTTAACCCTGGTACCGTAGAAATCATCAGTAAGCATTCTGTTATGGAGGAATTGGCTGGTACGTCTAAACACTTTACGAATGAAATTTTAACCAAGTATTAAAGATTTGAATATATTTAAATAAAACACTTTAACGGTTTTAAAACGGCGAGTCACCCCGTGACCACGGCTGCTACAAAGCAACTGCAACGTCGGGCCGTAGTTAAAATAATTTTATAATAAGTACTATATATCGCGTTTTAAACCGCTAAAGTGTTTTATTAAAATGTGTACTACACGCGCAAACTACAGACAATATATAATATTTGTTTAGCTGGAGGCATGGAGCATTTGGAGAGTTTAGTAAACCGAGAGTCTGCACCTTCCACTCCTGGGTCAAGGAAGAGCAATCGTAGTCCTGAAAGATCTGGTAAATTGTCTTACACTCTCATAATGTTTTTTATATTTGGTGTTCCATTGGTTCTTTATTTTTGATAGAGAAAGACAGGCATGTGGTTCACTTGATGGTAGATGAAATACCGCAGCCATTTAGCATCCAAACAAAAGTAGCTATTTTGCCTTTGGATAATCGGAAATACACAAACTGTTCCTCTGTGAAATATCGGGATTGCCAGACGATGCCTAAGCTGTTCCAGAAAAATTATAAAGTGATTAGAAAAATGTTGAATCCGATGGGCATCAAACCCACGACCCACGTTTATTGGATACATTGCTACCTTTACACTAATAAGGCTGTCAAGAATCCATTAGATCTATGAGAAATTACTTTTAGGGGGGAGGGAAAAAAAAAGGGGGGAAAAAAAAAAAAAAAAAAAAAAAAAAAAAAAAAAAGAAAAATTTTTTTAAAAAAATTAGTTTTAACCTGTTTTTAAAAAAAAAAAAAATATCATTTGTAGAAGAAAGAAACGAAGAAGTAAAGAGTAGGAGTCAATCGCCAAACGACTCCCGAAAATCGCCTTTACATTCCTTCAGCGCGCTCGTTGACAGATTGTCGCCCGACTTGAATATGGAGGAGAATCAGGTTCGTATAGTTATTTTATTTGTTTAATGCGGCTAACTGATTGTATAAAAGCCCTTATAAAATTATTAATAATAATACTTTACAAGTCGTCTCCTTATATTTGTAATCTAAAATATCTTGATTAGCCTTATGGGATGTATTAATTGTTTTCAGAACAAAGAAGGTTACAGTAGTTACATAGCGAGCGAGTTAGAAGCATTGGAGCGCGAACAAAAAAGTGTCGATGAAAAGGCGGCTGCTCTAGAGAAGCAACTTCGGCGAGTCATGGACAGAGCTGACAATACAGAGGTCAGGCAGAGCTCTTTGCAAGCCTATGTAAAAGACAGACACACATAATTGTTATCACGTACATGCACCACCAGACTTAGAACATTATATTTACCCCAGAATTACTCTCATTGTAATAAGCCTGTTCGAAAAAAAAATAATTTCAATAATATTGAAAGAATACTGTCTATAGTTTACGCGAGTAGTACACATTTAAATAAAAACACTTTAACGACGTCGGGCCGAAGTTAAAAATCATTTTCAAATAAGTTTAACTGATATATCGCGTTTTAAACCGTTAGTGTTTTATTTAAAAATTGAAAGAAGTTTATTTTTTCAAAGCTAAAACGTCAACATGCATATCGTATCATTATTAATTAAAAATGGTATAATTTAAAAGATACATAATAAATAATGAACATTTTTACAATTGTAAGTTTAGCAGTAGTGGTACATAGTCAAAAAAAGTTAAGCATTAACTCATATTTGCAGAAGAAATGGAGAAGATTTATGCTCCACTGTGTCAGACATCCGAAAAATTCGGTATTTTATATGCAAAAACATAGTATTGAAATTGAATGACGTAGTTACTGTATGAATTATATTGTATGAAAAGTATTAAGTATAGAAATTATATATATAAGTATTAAGAAAGTACTCGTCAAAAGTAAGCTTTAGTTAAGTTTAAAATAAAATATGTTATATACCTTAACAAAAAAATTGTTTTAGGAGGAAGATCGTCTAATGTCACAGTGGTTTAACCTCGTGAATAAGAAGAATGCGTTACTACGGAGGCAAATGCAACTCAATATTCTGTAAGTATCTTCCTTTTTAGGGCCATAACCTTCGCTGGCCATATGCGAGTCGGACTGGAAAAGGCTTCCGTAGTATTGAATAACTACACAATTTATTGTAAACATTGAACAAAGCACTTTTAACGGTTTAAAACACGGAATACATTAGTTATATTTATTTTCAACTACGACCCGACGTTTCGGCTTTGCAGCGGTCGTGATCACGGAAGGGCTGCTACTTAACACAATTTTTTTTATAAGTGAGCATCTGGGACTCCTTGGTATAAGAGAATGACTATTAATGGCCGTGGGTTTGATTTCAGAAATTCAATTACCGCTAACAAAGTAATATGTCTTGTATATTATAAAGTACTTTCTTTACAGTGAGCAAGAAGAAGATTTAAGCCGGCGTTGTGAGCTTCTAGCGCGGGAGCTCCGCCTTTCGCTTGGTGTAGAAGAATGGAGAAAGACTCCGGGGCAGAAGAGAAGAGAAATACTACTATTGCAGGTCAATATCATTTATTCATTGTTTTATGTTAACTATTCAGTACCAATCAAAATTTTCTATGGGTTAATTCTACTATAGTATTAGCTCTTTTTGTAATTTTTACAGTTCTCCCTAAAACGTATGTAATTGGCAAATGTTTGCATTCTCTTTGTAGGAGTTACTATCAGCTGTAAATGAAAGGGATAGACTGGTGCAAGAGATGGATGAACAAGAGAAGGCGTAAGTACACATTTTTTTAGGTACTTTTTACTAAGAATAAATATATTTCAATAGTCACACAAAAATATATAAGACTTGTTACTAAATATTAAAATAAGACATAATTTAACCTTAACAGCATAAATGGTGTGTGCTTGTTGGTAGAACAGGATCTTACTGAGCTTATATCAGGTCCTTTGTTGACCTGAAACTGATTTTCAGTAAGTAGACAAGGTGCCGCATGCAAGTAAAAATTAAAACCAATCTTTATTGTAAAAATAAAAACATAGTATCGCTATAAGTAATGTTGAATTATCTTCAAAGTGGAGAGATATAATTAAGTTTGAATCATCAAACGACATCGCCATGAAAATGTACAACTTACCAGGGACTAAAATATACTACTTTGATACACAGGATAGCAGAGGACGACGAAATTCAACGAAACCTCAGCAACGTTGAAATACAGAGGAAAAACAACTGTATACTCCAATAATTAAGGTTCACTATTGCGCTTCGCTTCTACAATTTACAATACAAACGAATTAGACCGTTCTATTTAAATGTTCTACGTTTAATTATTTGAACAATAACAATTGGTGTAACTTAATAACGAGGTATATTGCACTACTGAAAACGTATGATAACTTAAATTTAAACTTAGGGTAACTTAAATAAAAAATGAAAAGTTTCTAATTTAAAGAACTATTAATTTATTTAACTTTAATTTATTTTTATGGCCTTTAAACTTTAAAAAAATTGTTAAATGCATATAATAATTGGGCCTTTAATACTCGTAGTTACTCATCTAACATATTCACTAATATAATGTTTGAAATTTAAGGAATGTTCACTTTGGATTCATTTAACTGTTTGACCAGAATGTAGTTTACCAAAGAAACGAAATGGGCATAGACAATAGACTTCAAACCATACATTTTACTATTAAAATTTTAACTATCAAATCTTATCAAACTTAACGCAAACTATATAATAAGTCTATACCCAAACAAGGACGTGATAAGTACAAGACACCATTTCGTGTACAATTTATTTTAATCTGACGATTTATTTGTAAATAGTATTTTTAGTTGTATATTATTTTGCGGCTATGGTAGAATCTTGCCTTGCGATTCCAATGTAACGCTGATCATATTTCCATGTTGTGTTAATTAGTGGGTGATTCTCAAATAGTTGATATAAGATTTATACTTACACAAAAGTCGTTTCACTTTTTCTGGAATTGCCCCCCCCCCCCCCCACGGTTTCTCTGTTTGAGATATTAAGCACTATTTTAGTGAATCTTTATTTTAAAATTTATTTTAGTGAAGGGACATCCTTCAAAACAAATAACACGACGTCTAGTAAGGAACGATGTCTTCTCACTTTATATTTGAAATATTTCACCAGACTATCTGTAATGATTGACAAACATTAACAGATTAAACAAAATCAACTGTTTAATTTAAGACGATAAGATAGTCTCTTTAAGTAATTTATTAAATTCCTAGTTTTAGCTTAGTACGTGGCTTATACAAATTTTGTTTAGTTTCTTTCAAAAAGTACATGGGATTAACTAGTAATGACGAACATTACATTTTCAGTTTATTGTTATCATATTAAGGTGCTCTGTTTATCCATTGGCTAATGGTTCGTGCAATTTATATGAATGTGTGTCTGAAACGTAATTTTAAATATTATTTTTATGGGTGATTATTTGTTGCCGGTTATGGATGTGTAGATTATTTAACACCCGTAAAAATATTAGTGTTATTCAATAAAAAACGTACTTTTGTACATAATATTAGCTTAATATAATCAGTAATTCGCTTGAAGGTGAATGTGTCTTTGTCTAAACTGTAATGAGTGAAAGAGACAAATTTGGCTTTGAAATTAATTTCGCAACTGGCATATCGTTACGTATATATTTTTGTACGGATTCAAATACATATGATAAACTATAAATTCGTTTGTGATCTCAATAGTTGAACAAGTTAGAATAATCCTCTAAATAATGCCTAAAATAAACCCCTCTCGATTGCGATTCGAAATCTCAAAAAAATGTTCTGAACACACTGAACATTAATAAAACACTAAACGGTTTGGTTTGCGAACTTAATAAGTTATTTCATGTTTCATACGACCCGACGTTTCGGATGCTAAATATAAAGAATTAGTTTAAGAGCAAGCAGTCTTTTCCAAATCGACTGTAAAACGTCGGGTCTTAGTTAAACAATAATTAACTTATGGATCTCGCGCCGCTAAATAGTGTTATATTTTGTTCTTCAAATGTAGCTTTAACAAAAAAATCTTTGTATTCTTTTTAACAAAAAATCAAAATCAAAAAAAAAAAAAAAAAAAAAAAAGGAAAAAAAAAACCAACACCACCCCTTCCCCGCGGTGCTCCAAAAAAAAAAAAAACAAAAAAAAAAAAGAAAAGGAACCGGGTAAAAACCCCCCCGAGAAAATTTTTCAATTTGTATTCATTTTAAAATAATTTCTTTAGCTACATTATGTTCAATAACATGTGAAAAATATTAATTTTTACTGTTTTTTATTTTGTGGTCATCCCTTTTCCTCCTAAAGCAATAAGCAAACAGCAATAGTCTTTATATTTTGATCTTAGATATTTTCTCTGTTAAACGAAAATAGCTCGTATGTATTACTAAATAGTAGTGATTTTTAAACATATTGCATGATATACTTATAGTAACTTATGCTGATTGTCAATAGAGGTAGACACTTGCATTGTATCCAATGGCTATTTATCTCTATGGTCCGTAATAAAAATAAAGTGATATTCTACAATAATTATGTGTTATTATTAATGACTAGCTGTGCTACCTACTTCGTTCGTAAAGAATAGTTAAACAAAATTTTGTAAAAAAGCTGTTACCCACGATGTGGTCATTACGTCGTTCTTGCAAGTTCTCCAAGAATCATTCTTTTATACATATTTTTTGGGTATCTTAAACTGTTTTCGCAGCGTACGTAACGGAAACCCACAAGTTTTTTTTATTTTTTATATATACAACCAACCAGCCTAAATCTAGAGCAATAGGCGGCTTGATGTTTTATGTAAAACCTTCCGTGATAAATATAATTTTTTTGTTGCTCTGAAATCGAACTTGTAGTCCTGAGCCTGTCCTGACCGCGTTCAAACAGAAAAGCTTTTCAGCTTTATAATATTAATAGTTAGTAGTAGTTATAGTTTAAAAAAAAACTAATTGATTGTAAATTTTTTATTTCGCTGTACAAGCATTTGTCAGTATTCGAGTATACAGGTTGATAATTATCTTTAGTGTATGTTAAAACATTTCTTTAAAATATCTATGGAAGAACTAAGTACTTAATAATACTAAAATTAAATATATATATTTAGGACAAACACAATTTACATTAAAAAACAATAAACTTTCAACTGTTTGTAAAACCTTTGTATTGATACTGATCGCCCAATTTTGTTCAGTTTTAATATAAATCATGCTGCTTTAAAAAAGTTACCTAAGTAGAATAGAACAGTGTAAAATCTATATAGTTTTCAGTTACTTTCAGGTGTTACTACGACCTCGCTGCTTTACCCTGGTGGCCCCTTTGGTACACAGACCCCTGTTCCTGTTAGTAACTTCGCTTTTGTCCATCTGTCTGTTATTCTGTCACCAGGTCTCAAGAACGCGAAGGGAATTCCCACCTATTGTGTATTTCTATTGCCACAGTAACAATTAATAAATAAACAAAAAAATATTTAAATACTGTCTATAGTTTACGTGAGTTATACACGATTCGGATGCTTTGCAGTAGCCGGGGTCACGGGGAGACTAAAGATGGAGGGTGTCTCTGACGTCGAAGTAAAAAAATTGCTACGCTAGCGCCAACTGTTCCGTTGAAGTTGGTATTTGGCGAAACGTCGGGCCGAAGTTAAAAATCATTCTCAAATAAGTTTAACTAATATATCGCTTTTTAAACCGTTAAAGTGTTTTATTTAAAAAAATAATTAATATTAATTCAATGTACTCTGTAATATTTAAAGTATTTTAATAATGTTTAATACAAAATATTACTTTAAAGGGACTTGAAACTCGACACGAGAATTAACGCCATTTTGGCAATTTTTTCTCGATATCATTAAACGTTTGAAACAATGTAAAAGACTTTTCATAGAATTGGAAATTTCAGTATTCCTTGGCAAGATTTCAACTTGGCTGGTTTCTTTTTTGACCCGATAATGAACCGGAACCTGAACTCACCAAAGCCGAGTGATCCTATGCTGTAATTATTTTTAAAATGAGTTGCGCCATATAGAGATTACACTGTATTGTATTATTTCAAACAATGCTGTAAAGACTTAGGAAGCATTACAATATATATATTGTATATATATGGTATGTTTATGGAATGCAAAACTGGTATAAAATTGTTGATAATTACAAGGTATTGGTCGTTTACAAAATTGATTACAGACGCTACATATCTACATCGTATCTATATTATATGAAAAGTTTAACACTACTATACCTATCGTATTATTCAAAAATTACATTTTAGAATTTTAGGATACAATTTGGGGCCAAAATTAATTACGATATGCTACATCCATACGAAGTTCTGTTTAACAATCTAATTGATATATAAAATTAATATTGCTAATGTTTTATTCCCAATAATGTAATGGAAAACTGTATGGAAGCATAAAAATATTACAATTCTGACCAGCAGATTAAAATAGTATAAGTATCGATTATTATTTAATTCTTAGTATCTAGTTTTTTTAATATCAAGGCATAAAATACCCCGGTACCTACTGTACATAAAATACCATTTAAGGTCATTGAACAAATGTTTATAGAGTTAAAAGGTAATAATAGTATTTGAAATTGCCAGTTCAAATGCTTTTACACCAATTATATTTCATATAATTTTCTATACATATTAATGTCGAATTTCCAAAAAACTCGTTCTTATAATAGAACTGACACAGAGGTAGTTATGGGGTCATTATTACCCAATTGTCAACCCCCGCAAAAGCTGGTCAAACCAGCGTCTAACAAAAGCGGAGCGATAAAACATGCTCTCACTATACAGAGTATAATTACAACTTTGTTAGATTGTACGTTATTCCATAGTTTTAGATAATGCCTTCAAAGTTCGCCAAAATCGAACAACAGCTGTATATAATCAACGAAGAATAATGTCTTTGCGTATGGGTTAAGATCGAAATTATATTGCAAGAGAGTTGAAGGATTCAGTTATGCGCCGATTACAGAAAGAAAACCCTTACACAATGTATGTGATCTTAGGTTCGAGTCCCAGGGTTATATGTTATATCTGTAAAGATAAGGATTTATAATATAATATTTCTCGTGTTGATTATAATCAAAATCCACTGTAGTGTGATTTTGACGAGCCTGTGTAAGACCCAAGATCTTGGGATCAAGTAGCTTTAATCTCTTCCTGCTACGCTCTGGTATGGTTGTTAGCAGTCACAGGTGGCGCTGCCTCTGCTTCCTCCGCGGCTTCTTCCGCTTTCAACTTCCTATATTTTCCTGAAAATGAAAATATATGAATAAGACACCATCGAATACTGTCTGCAGTTTACGCGAGTAGTACATATTTAAATTTAACACGTTAACGGTTTAAAACGCGATATATATCAGTTAAACTTATTTTAACTACGGCCCGACATTTCGAAAGTATCAGAGACACTCTCCATCTTTAGTCTCTCCGTGACCACAGCTTCTGCAAAGTAGCCGTAACGTCGGGCTTTACTTAAAATAGTTTAACTAATATATATCGCGTTTTAAAACCGTTAAAGTCTTTTATTTACTATACATTTCTATTATATAAATGTATATTTATCTTATTTCCAAAGCATGCTTAATCCTCGAGGGCTACCTCAATGACAATGCGTTTGGATTAAAGTTTGGGACTATCTAGAATGATAATTATCCAAGTACACATAACTTACTTGATATTTTAATCATGATAACACCCCACCAAATGGACCAGCCCCAACCAACTAAGCAGAACAACACTGTGAACAGCTGACTACAGGCCACCACGAGATTGATGACGAAAGAACCTGTAAAGGAAAAAGTATAATAAAGTAAAATGTAATCTTACATTTAAAGCAACTCTCCTTATTCAAGACTACATACATTAATTCCTAAATTTATTCTTAAACTCCTAATTTAAAAAATAAGTTGATTTTAAAGTGTTTTTTTAATTATGTTCCAGTCATTGAGGCCTTTAACGTAACGCAAACTAGTGCGATAGGCAATTTTTTTAAAAGTACTAATATTACTTATTTTTTTTTGAGATTATTAGAATTTCATGAATAATTAATTCCAGCTTATTTTATTTATTACATAAATTTGAAAACTTTAATATATATAGTAGAAATTTGTTACAACATATCAAAAATATTTTATGAATCTACAAAAATTGATTTTTTACTATAATTTACGAACTATGATACAAATATAAGTATAAAAGTACTCACCTATTCTGTGTTTAGCACCGTCATGAACACCGAAACGAGGAATTCCGAAGCATAGACAAAACATACCACTGAAAAGAGTGCCTGTAACAATACAAGACAAACACTGATTAACACATTGCATTACAGGGTTCATACAATAACTATTAGCTGTAACAGACGTACGATGATTACGACAGACAGACGTATTATTATTTTGAATTTAAACTTTCCATTAATTATAAGGAATTTTAAATAAGTTTTTACATTATCTAAAAGAAATCTAGATACTAAACGGTAGACTTTACAGTAGAACACGTAGAATTTCCGTACGGGTCTAAGACTATAACAAACAGATGAAGAAGCCGTAAAGGGTTAATGCCAAAATTGGCCGAGGCGCATTTTGTTTAGCAGTCATGTGGCTGGGTTATTTACCTTCCATCAATCTACTCGATATTAACATCAGTATATATTATCAATCAGTTAATATAATATATTATTGTGATAATATATTTTAATTATTATACGTACCAAGACCAGGGACGATAACATTACAAACAAGACAAAAATAGGCGAGGGCTGGAGGCAGAACAGGTATAGCACCGCGCATTACGCTTGTATGTTCCACAAGGGATGCATCCAATTTCGTACGCGTGTCCTGAAAACATTATTTTTATCTTAGACATTTTATTTACCTAAGTGAATTAAAGAGTATATACGCTTTCAAAAAATAACGGTCACAAGTTTCACTTTCGCTTGTGTCTAACTTTTTAATTGTTTAAATTAAGTGTGGGCGCGGGTTCGATTCCAAGCTCTGCTCCAATATTTGGCTTCTAAAGCGCTATATTAATATTTTTTTCTGCCAAAATATTTAACTAACCTTGCTTTTTTCACAGATCATGTAGCAATAATATTTAAAGTATTTAATTAGTTATTGAGTTAAACTTTTTCCACTTGGAAACTTACGTCCTCATCGTCGTACAAAATAGTATTTCGTCTTTTAACATCGGTGAACACAATCTTTGGCGTTGTTAATTTTGACGAAGAGATACTTATTTGATCGAATACAGAGCCCATAGACATTCTTTTTAATTATAAGTAAACAGTATCGAGTTTAAATTGACGACTCTTTTAAAAGCTTTCGTCTTTTGGTACGAGGTTCTTTTTGGCGAAGGGTTACTAAACTTTTCCAAGAAAATTACAACAAATTACTGATGTTATCGAAAAAGCGCGGTTTCAGCGAAAACTTTGGACGCACTGACGCAAAAGCTAATATCAGTAATTACATACGTGATTATGTCTTTTTCAATGAACCGTTTACGAAGAATTGTGTTGTGTATAGTGACCTCAATCCTTTGACTGTATATTGTAGTGTTGAAAATACCTTTCATTATGTATTAAGAACTTCATTTATTAAGAGACGTAACGTATAGTGCTGTTGCTTCAAAAATTAAAAAAATGAAATCTACCTATTCATTTAAGAGAGCAAATACACTATGCGTCGTGAATTTGAGTTCTAGCCTTGTCATAATTATTAAAATTTGTATATGTATATATTCTATGCGATATCAAGTATGTGAAATAAAAATTCAAGCGATAAATACTTAATTTGAACCTTGTTGCTTCGAAAATAAAGGCCATTGCGAAAATTTGCGTTCAGGCATATATTATTTCTGATTTTTATTAAATTATAGCAATTAAACTTATTATTAATTAAAGTAAACCATATCATATAAATTAGAGAAAGTTATGAAAACCGAAAGTAAGGAGATTTTTAATTATTAACCAGAATAAATTGAAATGCGAAATATTAAGACTTAAGAAATTGGAAATTGCGCAAAAAAATATAGTATTTGCCGGTTTTTCTCTTACAACTGGAGTTAATTAAGTTCGTTCACAACTACTAATATTAAACAAAATCGATACTAATTTTAAACACGACCAAGTATAAGCATTATTTACAGCTTGTATATAAACCTACAATTATTTAATCTTCACCTTTAAGGTACTCGTATATAGTATGCGATACTAAGAAACAATTAAATAATCAAAGTTCCCACAAAGTTGGAAAATAACACCCATAATTTTGTATAACTATTACGAAAATACTACGATGAAACACGTAATGATTGTTATCCACCATACAGATATAAAACTAGATAAAATATTTATTTCATTACGTCGATAATTATAGATAGTATCTTAATTTCCACGTGTTTTTTTACAAGATATAAACGTTGAGTAATTAATAGTCTGCAAGAAATATATTATAGCTTCTGTGGATCGCGAGATTTATATTTGTGTCGATCGCGTGCTGACCAACACGACGGTATGAAATGTCGTGAGGGTCAGAATGTTTCACGCAATCGGACCAAGGTAAGGAGTGAAGAAAAAGGTATGGATTTTAAGGACTTTCAAGTTTTCTTATGAGACATAATTAATTTAGTTTATATATGTTTTTTGCAAATCCACGACGTCGGTCGCGTCCCTTCCCTTCTGCAAGTTAATCTTAAAAGATATACATATACTATCGCGGACTTTTTTTAGATCATTAAAAGAGAAATCATTCTTTTATACACGTTTTTGGGTATCTTGTACCGTTTCTGCTGCGTACGCCTCGGATACCCATAATGATAAATAATTTTCCCAATTTTTTTGATTTATCTTCGCTTGTATTAGTCACAGCCTAAAGCCTTCCTCGATAAATGCTCTAACCAACACAAAAATATTTTTTCAATTCGAACCCGTTGTTCCTGAGATTAGCGCGTTCAAACATACAAACAAACTCTTCAGCTTTATATATTAGTATAGATATGAATAGTGAAACGGTTAAAACATTTTTGTACTGCAACATAATTAAAATGTTTTGGAATGGAAAATATGATATTTTCCGTAATCCACAGATAACGAAGTGTACCTCAGGTGGTAAAGTTGGTGATAAGCTCTTGTTTTTGGAGAAGAGACTGGTCCTTCTACTTGACGGTGGTTCAGACTGTCGCCGACACGCACCTCGTAGCCATCGAGACAGCCGATTGTTACAGCACCTAATAGAAATTTTAAAGTGTTTTATTTAAATGTGTACTATTCGTGTAAACTACAGACACTTGCAACGGTTTAAAACGCGAAATATATTCGCGAACATATTTAAAAATTATTTTAATTAAGCCTTGACGTTTCGGAGCCGTAGTGGTGGATAAAAATAAATTGTAAATTTATTTCAATTCTGAAGTGCTACTATTTGATTCAAAGAAGACATTTTCTGTCTTCGCTTATTGTTTACGATCAATCTAACTAATTACAGAACTAGCCACGTAATAGGTTTTAAACCAGTAAGAATGTTTTATTTAAGTCTGTAAAATTTGATCTAGCGCAAACTGACGTGGAGGTGATGGTCTTATGAAGAGCTTCGCCTTCGTCTTATCAACATCGCTTGAGGATATCAAGGGTTACTTACGTCGTAGGAGCCTGATCACTTAAGATGCTGTCCCGTCTTTCGATCTCCTTTTTCTTCCCGCAACAGCCTGTCTCCGTTACGACCTCCGTAGAGGCAACTGGCGAAGACACCTCGAACTGTCGCACTGATTCGGCAAGGTCACTGACCTTTCGTCGACGACGGCAGGCGCATAATACATCACGAAGTTTTCGCTTTCGTTTGGTTTCAGATTCAAATTCTATCGTGGCTGCCTAAAAAAATTTTTGTACATTGTTTATAAAAGTTAGGCCTGACAGTATTTAGGTTAACTGGATGGTCTGTTAAAGTCCGCAGCCCTAAAACTCCTAATAGGACCTTGATATAAGTTTCCCTTTTAAAATCGAAAATAAATTGAAAAAAATTTCGACTCGGGCAGTACTTGAACCGGCATCGTCAGCGTTCCTCTACTGTTGGAACGCTGACGATGCCGTTTCAAGTCCTGCCCGAGTCGAAAATGTTTTCAATTTATTTTCGATTTTAAAATTATATAATGCCTTCATGTTCATGTGTAAAAAAAATTTAATGTTTTTATAAGTCTACCATTCACTTTTACTTTAACGAAACAAAAACTGAACACTATCACGATTTTCCTTTACATACAACTTACTTTTCCCGCAGCACGTTCTACTTCCTCGTCTGGAATCTTCTTCTTCAAACAGTTCATAGAGCTCCAAAACCTCTTCTTTTCTTGGACATCTTCTGTCCCTGTTTCATCGCCTTCAGCTGCCTTTACACAACAGGGACAGCATGTGCTTTTACATTTGCTGATTAAACGCGTGCAAATATTGGGTTTTGCCTCCGCATTCTCTGTAACTTCAGTATTTTGTGGCGGTTTTTCTTCTTTTGGTTGTCTATGCGCTCTCGCAGGTGGCTTAGGTGTCGTGCTTGTGCTTTGTGGGAATCTGTGGAGCAGTATGTAACTTCTGACATTTAATATTTCTTACCCTGTTTGCTAAAGATAAGAAATATTAAAATCATTCCTTTGTATACAGAAAGACACAGAAACAACAAATAGTGTACGTGTATTTTTGTATTATTTCAGGCAGATAACATACTGATGTTTATAAATATTTGCGGTATATAATATGCGTTCACATTGTTTAGATTTTTTTTTGTTTTGTGCACCGTGCAGTGTTATAATAGAGCTGACCATTACCTTAGTAAAGTTGACTGACTCACGAATCTAAAATGGGATGTATTATATAAAATTGTTGTGTAAAAGAATAACTTCATTTATAATTAATGCTCAATAATTTTGGCGTTTTCAATATACGTAAATACATGTTTTATTTATCGTAAATTACTTGATTCTAATAAAATATAAAATTTTGATTTATGAGACTAAATGCTTCAATGTAAGTTGATTTCTTTGTGACATTTTAAAATTAAACACCTAAGAGATTAGGAAGGCAAAAAAGAAAGTAAAGTTTCTATCGAAAAATAAAATTAGTTTGAATTACCCTGTTTCATTGCCATATCGCTTTGGTAGCAACTCGTTTGGCAAGATATAAACGGTTCTATTGTTGATCATTTTTGAATTTCGAATGCCACAAAAACATTTCACGATATGCAGATAATAAATTTAACTGTCATCTGTCAAATACACAAGACGGTTTCGCGCCATTTCGTAAGGCGACGTTTGAAGCAAGCGGTCGAGGTCAGACTGTAGCTTGAACTAATTTCTTAAGGGCCGCAGCTGAATTACAGGCAGATTGTTAACGGTGTTAAGGTGCAAATACTTTTGTAGTAAGGTTCTATTGAACGTGTATTAACTGGCGCTTTTCAGTTAAGAATTACTATTATTCTCTAGATTCATATTTTGAAAAATCGCAATTTTCATTCACACTCGTTAGTACTTTGCAATGCTAGAAAAGAATTAATGTTATTTCCCTAAAATAATATAATATATAAAAGATCGATCATTTGCGTCAGCATAAGTTGCAGCACAGTTATGCTACAAAACCAAGCAGCAAAACTCTACTGTTCTTCACTTAGACAGCACTCTTACAACCATTTAATATTATAAATAAGCAGGAGTCATTCGTATATAAAGTATTAGTAAATATTGTAATTTTTGCCGTAAATAGGAGGTTGACATTCTCGTGGTGTTCTGGTAGTTTAATAAAAATAAGTAAATAAACTATTATAATTATGGGCTGATGGTGGAATATTATTCCAGCATTTTGTAGCTGAGTAACTAAGCGGCCGAATTAAATTTTGGATTTCTCAACCCTCTTCGTCTGAAATTTAATTTATATGAGTGTTTAAATAAAACACTTTAACGGTTTAAAACGCGATATATTAGTTAAACTTATTTGAAAATGATTTTTAACTTCGGCCCGACGTCGTTCCCGTGACCACCGCTGCTTGCAAAGCATCCGAAACGTGGCCGAAGTTAAAAATCATGTTCAAAGTTTAACTAATTCGCGTTTCAAACCGTTAAAATGTTTTATTTAAATGTGTACTACTCGTGTAAACTATAGACAGTATTTATATGAAGTGTGTTAATATAAACTTTATTTCAGATCAACATAGTCATAATAATATTATAGTAAGAGGTCATTTGATAAGCTCGAGGGTTTAATTTGTCCCGTGACTGGTAAAATCGGAGGGTTTAGTAGACACATCGGAAATTAATGCTGATATAACAGATTATTGGAAATTTTTATCGTTAGTGTACTATAAAGGATTATGTTTTGTTTTTTGGTTATTTTATTACTGCCTATTAGATAATGCATTTAGAAGGTAGATTTGCGAATGTACGGGTTAAAATACATGCAGCGCCATCTAACGACGGATGAAGTGTTGCTGAAACTACATTTTTATTAAGTCGCGGGCTATAGTGAGTATCGTGAAGTGTTTTAGCTAATTTATTACATCTAGTCACGCCACCAATGCTACGTCATACGCAATATCAAACAATCAATATTACATACCGTAATTTTACATACAATGCCATCTAGTTGCGACTTCAAGAAACAACTCGTGAGTTTTAACGTAAATGACTAGTGTAGGTTGAGTGAGCAAGGTTGTTTATTTAATAAAAGTATTTTTTTTCTAGAACGAGGCTCGTTACCATTCTTTCCACCACATACAATTGGATAATGTATATGTTTTAAAATGACTTACCCTCCATTACTGTGAGCAGACTTATCAGAAGTAGCGTCAGCTTTCTTAATTTCTATCCTTATTTTATCGCCAGACGACAAATTAGAACTTTGAACTTCTACCTCTCCTTCGCCCTGTACTAGGGTTTCGGTAACTTTTTCAGCATCACTCTTGATTTCATTTTTCTTTTCGCTTACTACTTTGATTAGAGGTTCTACTTCTTTAGGCTTCGGTGCTTCAACAATTTTAGGTTGCTCTACGGGTGTTATGATACTGTCAACAATTTTTGAAGCTTCTGAACGAAATTCTGCTGTCATTTCTTCGTTTTTTTGCTGCATTTGATTTTTCAGATCTGTTAACTTATTAGCCGCATTATCTTTCCCTTCTTTTATGTCACTTTTTGTCTTTTCTGCTGCCTTTTTAAAAGTATCTTTTGTTTCTTTTACCTTTGCCGTAGCTAAAATATTTTCAGGTGATATCTCAGGCTCTTTTAGAATGTCTTCTATTTTTTGTTTCACTTTCTCCAGTTGAGGATTATTATATGGAGGTTGCAGTAATCTTAATTTCACATTATCTTCACTAAAAATTGTAGAACTTTTATGCCTAGGTGGTCTCTTTTCTTCTTTCTCTATTTTGTCGGATTTCGTTGGCTCGGAAGAATCTTTAGCATCGGTAGAGTCCTTATCATCTTCCTTACCAATTAACGAATCTTTGGAATTAAGTCTTTCAAAAATACCTTTTTCACGAGCCTTCTCTAAGGCATTAGGAAGCTGATTAGTAACTGTAGTTACTACTTCCAACGGTTGGGAAGTAATTGCAGCTGTTGTCATAGACACAATATTTTTCTTTGTAAGAATTACGAGTTCTCCTTTCTCATTAGTTATTTTATCGTATTGTGTTTCGTTATCTTGTTTCGTCACTTCATCTTGTTTTACAACATCGTTTTCATTCTTATTTAAAATGTCATCAGTACCTTCTCTGTTACTTTCATTTTTAGTATCTATATTGCTCTCTAATCCATTTTCACTTACTTGGTTATTTTTATTTGAAGCAGACTTAGGCTTCTCTGATAAATCCTTTTTACTGCTGACTTTCTTTAAAGGTGGTTTTTCGAGTAAATTTTTTGTGCTGGGTATTCTTGACAAATTTTTTGTGCTATTCGTTCTACTTATAGGTTTTTTCGGCTCAGATTTTATTGGGACTGGGGGTTTTGTTGTTGTTTTTGTGCTAGCTGCTCTATTAATCGGTTTTGGGACATTAGGCTTGCTTATAGTTTTGGCAGCTACACGTTTTTCTGGGCTTGGATCTCGACTGGTAACTCTACTTGTCTGTCTAGAGTTCACTTTAGATGTAGCAGGAGTATTTTTAGTTGTTGAAAGGGATTTTTTTTTGAACAGTCGTTTTGGTCGGAGACCTAGCTGAAGTTGGCTTTGGATCATCAATGGGACTTTTATTAGGAGTGCCCACAATCGGGGATAATCTTTTGGAATTTAGAGTCTTGTTAGAAGGAGGTGGACCAATTTTACCTGGAGATATTGGTGGTTTACCTTTTATTACACTGTGTGGGACGGCTAGATTGTGGGTGCTTTGAATGGCCCTCTTATCATGAATCTGACTGCCTACTCGTATTGTCTCGTGAATACTACTGGTGCTATTTGATATGTACTTTGGATTTTTATTTAGATTGCTTGGTACATATTTTTTGTTAGTATATCTGGTTGGGGAAATAGAGCTTTGACGTTTTGGTATTTTAGAATTTTTAGGGGATCCAATTTTAGATTCCGGCTGCGATCTAGACACTGATCTGACTCTAGATCTGTGTCTAGAGTCAACGTTTAAAAATTCTGAGCTTCCTTTTGGTACTTTCTCATAGTGTAAAATTGCTGACGGCGAATTTGATCTCGACCTTAAATGAATTTTGCTAGGAGAGTTACTCCTAGAGTTGGTTCTCGAATTAACCCTGCTTTTAATTTCACCCTTTTTATCCAAAATCCCCATTTCTTTTAGCAAAGCAATCTCTTCTTCTTTCCTTTTCTCCTCTGCTTCGGCTTCGTGTTTTTCTCTATTCATTTCACTTTGTTCTTTTACTTCGGCCATGTTTTCCTTCAGAAAATTTCTTGGTGAAATTGGCCGACTCGGCAAAGGCTGTGGCAACATTGTAACTGTTTGCGCCATCTTCTCCGCTCTGGATAGTGATCTTGTTCTTCTTCTAGGTGGCGAGCTCGCTCTTGAGTTGGTAGCAGATGTTTTAGGTGTATTATGCCGTGATGTCTCTTCTCGAAAGCCTCGACCTAGAAAAACATTTAAATATTAGATACGGTCCAATATTTCTGTCATTGAAAAACTCGATTAAATTTTGATGTTTTGAAAGATACCTTTGAAAGGCGAGACTCTCTCGGGTTTGATCTCAACAGGTAAAGACCGAGGACTGGCAGGTCTTGAAGTCGGTGGTTCAGCTATAATTGCGAACGACTTTTCTCTTTTCCGTCTTGTTGGCACCGGTCTGAAAACAAATAGTATATAAGAACTTACTACTTACAGAAGGAAAATTTTTTTCAGCTATTTTCAAAGGGCCCTAAAAAGCCCACCCTTTAAATTTTTAAATAAATTTAGACAGGGTGTCTAGTTTTTTTTGGAAAATGTTCGTTATTCTATTTTGGTAAATATTTTTTCGCCTTAACCAAACGAAACGTATGTAATTGTATATAGCCATGTTAGTCACATGAAAAATTCCGTGCACTAACTCCCCTACCATAACATAGGTAATTTATAAAAATAGAGCTTAATTTTGACCCTGAACTGTATATAAAGAAGTGGGTTAATTTATATTATGAATAATAACAAGTAGGCGACCTCATTTTGGTCAAGAACAGTGAGACCTTGAAGGGTTGAGATTACGATAAAATGTGGGCGGTTTTAGGAATACAGGACAAAGGCTTTTCGTTAGACATTACATGTTAATTATGTTACGTTTGGTGAATGTTGTGGATTTATAAAATTTAAACAGATATTTGTTTTTTGATAGTTGTACTACACTATACTAATGACACTTGTGTTTAATTTTAAAGAAATTCAATACCTTATATATTAGAACAATAGAATTGGGTTATCTGTGTTTTAAAGACGATTCCAAATTAAGGCTTTTATCTTATCTCTCTGGCTGTACCTTTTGGAAATAGGTGCTGCTTGAATCTTTTTTGGCGTCACTATTAAGGGAAGATATAGCCGTTAAAGTTCTTGTATCCGACGCTACACACTAACAACTAAAAGATGAGTTAAAACAAATACATAGTAACTTACATATCATTAAGTCTAACTAGATGCTTTTGTCTCAAAAAACTTGCTTACTTACTATTATTTTAGTTGGCAACGCAGAGATATAAAAAATAACTGACGACAAAATAACATCGTCTGATTTTCTTTTAGAATTCCTATTATCTTATCTATTGGTTGAGTGAAATGTAAAATTGTGACTGCATATTGCCAATTAGCTACCTACTTTCTACAATAAACGAGGCTTAAGTGAAAACGACCATTTAAATAAAATAATTGTCATGTTTTTGCTTTTAACTTAATAAACATCATTAGGTGTAGAAAAGCCGGAAAATCACAGGGGTAAGACACGGATTTGAAGGCGTAAGTGTTCATATTTAAAAATATACAGTGGCGTATAATTGCACAACAGAAGAAATTATCGTAATTACATACTTCTAAGGCTTTTGCTATAAATACATGTTTTGCTTTTTGGTAAATAGCATAAGCAAACTATTTAACAAAAACTCACTGATCAACTTTAATACAAAAATAATATTATTATTAGAATCGCGTAATATCAGAAAATGATTGAAGTTTTTTGTTACCACTAACATTTAACATTTTTATGGCACCTAGACATACCTTTTGTACCTAAAAAAATAACTCAAATGATCACTTTTACCAGATTATCGTGAAATATATTTATTAATCCAAAACGTCATTTTTTAATTTAGGCAAGTAATTTATAGAACTCATATGCTCTACCGAAATCATAATGATTCTGCGATATACAAACCATGAAGACAGCTTTAGTATAGTTTACATAAATTAATTTGCACCACACACCATAGAGTAAAAGTAAGAACATACATGGGTAATTACAAGTTAATAGCTTGTAATATAACAAAGCATTGTTACCTTTACAACAGCTTCACAGTCGGGTTTTCGCACGACAGTAGCACGGGTCTCTCCGTAAATAAGTGTTATTATTTTTTTATTTATCTTGTAGATTCAAGAACGATTATGTTATTTTTTGTAATGATAACTTCTTATTGCATGGTAACCCTTGTAACGTAACGCGTTACGACGGTTGGCGTGACTACCTTTTCTCATACGCGCATTGTAGTGGTAGGAATGAGTGTAAAAGTATTTTTTCTAGGACCTAGGACCAAAAAAAATATTTTTTTTAATTCTATTTAAAACCATTTTATGTACATTACGCGAGATGTACAGTAGGTTGTCAATAGGTTAAAAAACCGACGATAACGTGTAGACCATGGTAGCTCGATTAGTTCGGGCAATGGCGCGGAAGCGTGGTTACCGGTTCGAGTCCTACCCGTGTCGTACATTTTTGTCAATTTTAATAGTTTTTTTAATTTAGCACTATTAGTCGTTTTTTTTACAATTCTTGTTACTAGGTTGACGTTTCCTTACACCTAATTTGTCATTTTAAACTTATTTGTTGTCAGATCGTATATCTAATCTCTGAATATACTTTAAGCACTTTATCGAACAAAATATATGCTTTTGGACAACCAAGTAAAATAAACTAATTAAATAATAATTAATTTATACATATCATATGTCTTACTACTTGAGTAATTATGTACAGTAGTTAATTGAATTTTTGATCAAAGCGATTTTACTAACGTTATTGACCAAGTGAAAACGAAGAGATAGAAATCACTTTTCTACCGCACATTTCAACCGCAGCAAATCGTTTAGTTAAATTGATGCATTTGATTAAGATGCAGAAAGCATAACGTAGGCCGTAGGGTAATGCATAGGATCGTAAGGCAGTTGTCTCACAAGCAGCGATGAGCGAGAAACGAGTAGAATTTACGATTTGTTAAACAGCGCCCGTAACATATTTTATGATAGAGGAGGACAGACAAGCGGCTATCACTTGACTAAAGGAGAGGATAAAGAATTTTCAACCCAAAAGGGTTTGAATATTTTAAACTCCACAGACTGAGACCGTAACGCGATTAAACTTCACTGCTTTTTTATCTATGGACGGTGGTTCGTGACCCAGATGTAATTTCGATATTCCTACTACCCCGTACACCCTGTTATTTCACGTGATTAATTACGTGAATTAAAAATCTATTGAGATAAAAAAAAATACGAACGGGACTTGAACCTATTAACGTTGTCAAGCGATTAACTCTATAATTTAATCTGCAATGATTTCTTAAGCTGCAAAGCATTAAACATTGAATTTTAATGTGTGTGTGTTAAGTTTAAAATTACGTTGAGCGAAAAATGAATGTATCAATAGGTAGAAAAACTTTCTTATCTTCAGGGTTAAAAAAAGAAATGACACAGGTGACGATTGAACGAAATGCAACCGCGATATAAATACACCCACATTTATTACTATAGCACTACATCGTTTAAGTATATGAACACAAATCATAATATGGTATAAAATTATAGATTCAAAGGCAATACATACTTGCATTATTAGGCATCAACGTTATTGTTAACTGTTAGATCATATATGACATAATTTTCACAGAAATATGTTTAATTGTTCTGAAGAACTGCATTTATATAATATGTAATAAGAAGATATTAGATTCATGATTGATTATAAATTTAAAACATTCACGATTCGGGCAGGACTTGAATCGGCATCGTCAGCGTTCCGTGCTGTTGCTCTACCAATGGGCCTACCGAGTCCTACACCTCATCGTCGATTTTTTTAAACTTATTGATACATGCGCCTCCCGCGCAATATATGCAAAAGCAGTTTTAAAATTTTACGAAGTTGTAACGTATAGTTCATATAGGAGGCTCCTAAAGCAGAGTGGCCTAATAACAAAAGCATGATTTTCAATAAGGAAGAAAATAAAAATGCGCAATTGAGTTCGGCGAAAATAAATTTGTACTATTATTTGTGTAAGAATTATGTTAACAATTATCGGGCACTGTGCTCTTGTAGATTAACATTTTTAGACTATGAAACTATATAAAATATAAACTATGACCCCTCGGGGTACCCTTGGTCTAGCCGCAAAAACGGCGAGCTCTATCGCGCCGCCCAAAACGCCCGGTTAGTATTCGTGGCTCCTTAGGAACACAATACGTAAAGTCCATTCTTATTTCACAAAATTGCAGTTAGGCTACTCTGCCTTTAGCGGCCTCATATATAGATGACTATAACATTATATTTCCAACGAAACCTACTTAACTACTAAGAGAGCTAAGACTATATCGCTTTTTCTTAACTAACGTTGTTAAAGAACTTCGGGAAGTTATTGCTTAAGCCTCGTTACGGTACTTATACTTAATACAAAAGCTGGAACAATGGTATGCGTGTGAGCAATGGTAATCTTTGAGATTCGTTATTACGAGTGTTTTCTATTCGTTATAGACTAAGAGTCGATTTGCTCTGATATTATAATAGTTAATAGTTTCCGAATATCCAAAATCAAAAAAGGTCAACAGCGCATCTTGTTTAGATGGTATATGGCTGGGGTATTTCACCTACTCCATGGTAGTGAACCCCAATGTCTTTTAATTTCCCAAAAAACTCGAAAAAAATATTCAAGCTTCCGTACAAGCGTGTGTGCGTTACAAAAGCGGTTTAAGAAACCAAAAAACATGTATCAAAGAATGAGAATAAAAACTATAACGGTTTAAATCGCGATAATATTAGTTTCTAACTTTTCCGCCGCAGCAGCCGTGGTCACGGGTGCTGCAAAATATCTCGAAAAGTTAAAAATCAATCGAAACGCGGAACGAATATCGCGGGTATAACAAAGTTAAAGTGTGTTATTTAAATGTAACAATCGCGTAAACCATAGACAGAGTATCAAGAAATAATATAATGTTTGCGAAAATATGTTGCTAACTTTTAAGATATCTGAAAAAAACGGGACGCGACAGTCGCGGGCACCAGTAATAAATGATGCGTGTTACAGCCAATAAAAAATATATAATATAGACAAATAATCTACAAACACGCGTTTAGTTAGCGTGGTAGATTAAGTTCACCGGCTCCTACGCTATTCGCATGCAAATCCCCACAGTTACGAAACCAAACGGTTCCATACAGTGCGCTAGTAAGGCCTGTGGGTGCTTCCGATGTTGCGATATCTCATGTGGGATGCAATTATATATTTTGTATTATGCGTAAACGCAGATATAAATATCTTAAATCTTGATGCAACTAACATCCTATTCGTTTCCAGTTGCGCAATTTATCTTCGTATCTCTACTACTTTCTGGAATCCTTGGATGTTAAAAAGATTTATAATACAAGCGTGACTGCGTACATGTATGTACAATAATAATATGTTTTTATATAAAATGACATTTTTAACCATAACAATTGAGTACCTAGACATTATGTATATTTGTGAACAGTTACTTTAATGGAAAAGAGAGTTTCGTATTCATAAACAATTATTCATTATTTATATACCTTACAGAGTTCTTTTAAATTGCCTTTTGTTTCCATCACCTCAAGTACCCAATTTATTCTTACTTACT